AAATTGTTGGGTTAAAAATTTATGATTATCATAAATCTAGAAAGTTGAATGAAAATTTGATGACATGGTTATGTTGAATTATTTTCAATTATGAGATTTTTGAACAAATAGAGAGGTTGACAATTACCAGTACAATGCATTTATTAAATTTTCTCAAAGGTTCCTTTTGTCACCATTTCCTCATAAAAGAATTTTTTTCCTTGATATAAAAAGATCAAATGATGCTGCAATTACTGCAATTTTTAACAGCGGACTTGTAATATGGTTGTTCTTCACTCTTGTAGTTTTGGCCTCCAGTGGTATAGATTATGACATTAAGCTGTGGATGCCTCTAGAAGAAAATCCCAAGTTTGAGGAGGAAGTAGCTGCTGAGGTAGGTCTGGTGTGAAATAGGTCACTTTCTGCTGAGTTAGATCTTACATGAAATAGGTCAGGCCCATAAATATTTGTCCCAGCGTAAGTAAAGTACATTCAAGAAATATATTGATAATCCAATAAATCCATATAATTTTTGACCCACAAATTAAACAGAAATTGTGATTCCACTGAATTATGACCCTGTGGGGAAAAGTATGTTTAACTTAACAGTTTTCACAATTCATAAACATATTCTTATGAATGAAATAGGTGAGAATATAGATCTGTTTTCAGTGAAGATCTCGAAAAACCTACAAACAGTACAAATCTTTGAACAGGCCACGATACATGTATATGACCTCCTGTAAATTCCGAAGTGGGATCAGATTAATATACAAATGGATCTTCCCAAATTAAAAAAAAAGGATTTCATTATGAAAATCTAACAATTTATTTTTTATAAATATTTAAATTTGGTTTTTTTTTGTAAGGTAATTAATTAGCACAAAAAAATCTCAAATTCGGGATAGATTTTAGAGAAGAACATGTATTTTAGATCATGAGGCGTAATGAAGTGATGCTGGAGGAGACAAGAGACACCATTACCGTTCCTGCGGCTTTTATGCTGCGTGTTTTGGCCTCCCTCAACCAGATCAGAGCAGGTACGTGTGCATTAAATCCTGGGCAGGTAGAATGCTCTCTTACATTTTTATTGGGAAAAAAAAATTGCAAAATTTTATCAACTGAGTTTTAGGAAAACACTAACAACTGCTTGACTTGAGTTTATGAAACTCAATTCTTTTCTTTATAAATGTGCTATACTTAAAACTTTGATCCAAATTTATGTAACATCAGTCTACGTAGATTCTTGCTGTATACAATTTACCTAAGAAAATCTTAAGACATATTCACTTGAACTTTAACTTGAGTGTATATGTCATGGATCTAGGAAGTTGGTTTTTAATTAGATTGTTTAGATCAGGGTCAGATTTCTTCCTCTTGCTGATTTAAAAAGTCAGTGTTTGCAATACTTGGTATATGTACCAGTAATTATTACATTTTTAACAGGGAAATACATGTACTGTAAATTTATTCATTCATTTGAATAAAAATGATATCCTGTCACAGTGTGACAAATATCAGAAGTGCCGAATAACTCTTGATTTTTCTTTCCATAAAGAAGAGTGTTGTAAAAAATATTCCTTGATCTAGCTGTTTTAAGGGACTCCAACCCTCAGCCAGGAAGGACAACTCTTTAATTTATAATTTAATTCAAAAAGTCTTTAACTGAAGCTTGAAAATTAAATCTTTTCATGCAACAATTTTCATTATATGCTTCTCAATGTGCTTCAAGGTTCTTTGAAAATCTCAGAAAGGTCTAATTAAAAGTAGAAATTTTTATACTTATTTTTTTTCACTTGTACATCGCACTCGTGAAAATATAAAAATATCCTGACCCACTTTTGAAATAAATACCATATTCAATGACAAAAACATGAAATATCCTCTATTTATATTGTTTTTTCAGGTCGTGCATCCTCCAGCAATGAAGCTGTGGCCGAGAACGACAGCTCATCAAGTGATTCCGAGTGACTTTGACAATTACTGATTTTACTTTTTCCTCTCTTCTTTATGACTCTCAACTGAAAAGATGTCTTATAAAAGACTCCAAGTATGCTAAAAGCCGAATATAGTCAGCTTAAAAGTGAAGTGTGATTCCGAATTACAGAGGTTGATTTGATTGTTTTGAGTGTTATTTTAAACTCTCACCTACATTTAAGTTTCTGGCTTCATATAAATACTTTACAGGTTATATGTATATGATTACATACTGTATGTTGACATTGTTGCTGATTTTATGCTTTGAAGCAAATTAAAATAAATCAGATCAGTAAATTTAGCTTGTTCTATATATTGTGTCTTTATTATTGGACATTCTTCTTAATGGTAGCTAATCAACAATGACAATAAATAAGGCAATACAGAGTTCAAGCTACATTTTTAATGCATTGTCATAAAATTTAAAAGAAACACAGCATAGTTAATTTGGAAAAATTGAACATTATATTTTCTCTAAGGAAGTGTTAAAGTAATTTATTTTTTTTTAACGTGGATTATTATTATTATCTTATTAATTTATAAAGCGCAAAATCACATATAGTTTCTATGCGCTGTACAATGGTTTTGCTAACATTTAATAACAATGTATCAATTAAACCTATAAAGAACTTTATTCGGTAGTAACCAATTTTTGCCCCCCAAATCAAACTTTGACGGAGAACTTTTTAATTATGTTCTAACACAGAGGGATAAATGCTGGCTTCAGAGCACTGAATATTTTCATCAGCAGTGACGTCATATGTTTGAAATGACGTCATGAAAATGACGTAAATTTAAAATTTCCATGATTTCTACAGAAAATAGATATTTTACGTCGATATTTTGAGAAAAAATAACCGAGCGCATGTGTGTTCAGGCTCAATATTTTGATAAAATGTGTAGAATGATAATATCAACGGAATATATAAATATCGTTCCTGAACAAACTTGCGCTCTATAAATTCTATAGCTAAAATTGTTGAAATTTCGTCCATTTTGTCCTTTTTCTAACAAATGATATAAAATCGGACGAGTTTGTGACGTCATAAAAACAAAAATAATCAGTAAACTACTTTGAAACTATAAATGTTCTGTTAATTCATTTTTTAAATACAATTTATGGAATTCAGCACATCTCCATAATTTTTCAAAATTTGACTTTTGTGGGGGCAAATATATGCAATATACCGCATTTAGTTCTTTGTTATGGAAAGTAACTAATCGATAAAATAAAGAGGGACCTTATATGAAACATGGTAGTAAGATGAAATTGGTTAACGTAGACAAGGCAAAATAAAATGAAAATAAAAACTGATGTGTACATAGGATAGTACTTCTGAAGTTGAGTTTACGAGAGGTTACACATGGATTCCTAGATGTTATGCTGGAATTTTACATTCATAGGTTATATTCACGCTTGGAGAAGAGTGTTTTTAGGTCCTTGTGGAATGCTCCATATGCTTCAAGCTCTCATAGTTCTAAAGGCAGGTTGTTCCACAGTTGTGTGCCTAATGTGCTTATGGCTCTTGCACCATATTTGGTTGATGATTTCTTTACTATTAGTTTCCATTTGTCAGACGATGATCTTAAAGTCCTTTTTGGCTGATAAGTAGGGCGTAACTCTCTCATATATGGTGATGCTGAGGAGGAGTGTAGAGACTTGTGCATGTTAGTCAGCACTTTAAACACAACATGTTGTTTTACAGGCAGCCAGTGCAGTTGTTGAAGTACTGGCGTGATATGTTGTCTGTAGGATGTTTTTGTGAGACAACGCGCAGCATTGTTCTGAGCCACTTGTAATCGGTGCTGGTTCGATCGGTTATGCCAAACAGAAGGGCATTGTGATAGTTGGGATACGACTGTTGCATTGATGACCTTTGATGAACATTGAAACATTCATTTGGTGTTCTGACTGAAATTTGCTCAGTCACTAGTTCCTTGAAATATTTGAGTGTGCTGGAAAGGAGGCCTTGAATATGTTGTTACAATAATATAAGTAAGAGTATAGTTTCACTTTGGTGAGCATCATTACAAAAGGATTTCTTGTGTATTGAAATTCTATCCTTTACTTTTTATGGTTAGAGTAACTGAAACTTGTTTTGCAAGATGAAAGTTTAGTTTTATTTTTAATTTATCAATATGAAAGATGGGAATGTATTAAATTTTGGTATGTTTATAGTTTATTTTCTGACTTTACGCAGTGTTAGTTACTAGTATATAAACAGATTTTCCCTGTAAAAAATTATCAGCTAACTTTGCTGCAGTTAATTTCTCTTTTGTACAAGTATATTGTGCTCCTTTGTTGAACATATTTCTCTAAAGACAGATGCCAAATTTTGAGACGAAAATAAAACAAAAAAGTTTATTGTTTATCTACAAAACATTCTGAAACAAGATGTGTTTGTGAAACACTATGCGCCCGACGGCAACAAAATTCTATCGATTCTATCTATCGATCCGGGCGCATAAAAATACCAAAAACAAAACTAAACAAAAAAACAATTAAAAAAACCCCCAAACAATGGTCACAATGTTCACAAAGTCACACAGTCATACAATATGCAAGAACAATTATCATTTTAAAATTTCACCGCTTTTCATGAAAAAAATTTCATAGTAAATATGTATATAATTTGAATTTGATCCCTTATTTTTGTCCAAATCTATCCATAGGGGCCGAAAATTGATTTTAAACTCATTGACAAACCAATACCTGTCGATGCATGTATTTTAATAGGTATTCAAGACCTACTGGGGATGTTCATCTAGAATTAAATATCCACTTTTAGTTTCCCAAGTGAGAATTTGCTTCACAATAGTAGGACTCACCCACAGGTACTTGTGGACAGGAACCCCCCCCCCCCCTCCCCAAAATAATCGCTTCACCAAAAAAATACCCCACTATACACTCTCTCTTATAATGTATGTAGTGGGGTATTTTTTGTGGTACGATTATTTTGGGATTTTGACGATTTGTTCCTATTGCAAACATGTTGATAAAGGGTACTAAATATAAATTGCGAAAAAAATGTCAAATAAGCCACGGGGTTGAATATCGGGGGGTGGGGTGGGGGGTGGGGGTCCTGTGACTCCTGTCCACAAGTACCTGTGGACTCACCCACCCCTAGGGTTATAATTTGTACAAATCTTAATGGTAGACTGATTTTTTGAAATACTGCTGAATCATGTTTTCCCATCAAATTGATCCCTGATTGTAGCACATCCTACCAAAGGGTCCCAAACTGAACAAACTTGCACTTTATGAGAATGCTTACATAATAATATGACTAATAATCAGGATTTTTGTGTTCTTGATGTTTTATTTAATATCGTTCTCTATATACCTAATGTAATGACCCCTTTCTATACCCCATGGAGTCATGATTCGAACAAACTTGAATCTGCCCCCATCCACGAAGAATACTTCTGCCAAGTTTGACTGAATAGGACTTGGCTTTTGATATGAACGTTTTAAAATTTTACGATGACAATAATAGACAACGGAAGATCTTGATCAGAAAAATCACTTGAGCAATTAATTGGTTCAGGTGAGCTAAGAATCAAATACATAGACGATGCAATTTAAACAATGGTACCACTAATTAATTCATTAACACTTCATGTTAATGTTTGATTTTAAAGCTCTAGTTTTCATTAATTTAATTTAAATTGAATCGTGTTTAAATAGGGAGAAACATACGATCTCAAAAACGATACATATAAACTTATTAAAATTTGAAGTACATGTACATCTGTATATAGTTTAATTTCCTATGCTCAATTGCTCCTCTGTATCTCCTTAGCATTAGATTAGATACAAGAGATACAAGATTGTAAAGTAAAAGTCACTGGAAGAATGACTTTAAGTAACTGACGCCTCTTTGGACTATATTCCCACTTTTTGGGGCACGTCCAGAACCCCTGAAAGTTTTTCCTACAGCGGAAGTGACGTCATTTTTGGCTAGCCTTAAACTTTGATCAAAGTTCTCAATATGCTTATCTACCAAGGCCATGCGCTTTATTTCATTGAGCATCATTATTCGCCGCCTGAACCCCGGTTGCTTTTCAGTTTCCTCGGCTTGGATCAAGAGATCAATGTGTTCTACTGCAGACAATGGATCAGGTCGTAGTGCTATCTCCTTCAGCCTCGCTTTGCAACGTTTCATGTCTGACATCATCATTGTGACATTCCCAAAAAGGTAATCAATGTCATATGTGAGTTCTTCAATATACTTTTCGTGTGTCAATGTGGAGCCCTTAGCTTTCTCGTATTTCTGTTTCATTTCAGTATAGGTTTTTGTAACTTTTTCAACGACGTATTTAAAAATATAGGGAGTGTTTTTATGCTCTGACCATATACATTTCCCCACACATACTTTGCAGTAACCATTTCTCATAGCTGCACATCCACGTTTTTGGGAATCGTCTGCAATTGCACATCTTTCATGACAGGTAACGTTACATTGAAGGCAATTAGTAACATGCTGACCTTTGGGCAAATCAATTAAGTATTGTTTTGTTTCATCTACTTTGTATGTAAAATCTTTGTTATTTTCTATATCATCCTTATGCCTTTTGAATATTTCGAGCTGATCTCGCAATTCTCCTAATTTCGACAAACCAGCTTTTACCTGAGGAAGAATATTGGCTATGATTGTCTTCAATTGTTCTCTTTCCTCCAACACATCTTTTGTTTGAGAGAGACTTCTGGTTTCAAACTTCCCAAGTTGATCAAAAAACTTTTGGAAACTTCTGCATCCCATCTCCCAAAACATAGGTGACAGAGAGGTTACTGAAAGATTTTTATTTTCTGCAAATAAGGCAGAATTATTGAATTGGAAGGTAGAGCCAAACGGGAGGTTTGCCTCAGTTAAAGAAGCTAGAACTGGGGGTTCCGCGCCGTCAGCAAATGTTATTAGGGTGCAGATGTTTGATTCAATATCTTTGCCAAACAACGACATTATGGAACTAAAGATGTATTTCTGAGACACAGTAAGCCGGGCATCAGGAGCCTTCACAATAAAACATACTGCATCAATAAACAGAACTCCCTGTTGCCCCTTTGCTGAAAATAAATGACGAATTTGGTCTATAATAGCATGATCTCTATCAATGCCTCGCGTGTCTCCAAATCCAGGGGTGTCAATGATATTCAGAGTGTAGTTGAGTCGACTTCCTTTATGTGGCGCTATTTTATAAACAGTTATCCACTCGGTTTGAGAAATAGCCTAAAAAAACAGAATGTGAAAGTTGAACAATAAATCAATAATAATTCTGCTTTTATGGGGTTTTGCTTACATAAAGTTCAAAGAACCGTTCTAAATCTAATAAATTTGTAGAAGTTGCTAAAAATTTAGCAACACTAGTATACTCGCGAAAACTACTTGATAATGTAATTTGTTTACGGGAGGGAAGGGTACATATTGACCACCTTCTCGTATGTTACTTTACAATGAGGGAATAAAGGAGGGTCGACATAAAGATTGTGTGAGCATGTGCTCTGACCTTTGAGCAAGGTAAAGGTAACTGCATGAAGAAAAGAAAAAACTTTACAAATGCATAATTCTCTAGTGGAGAAAAAAGGATATTGTTTCGTTTGTTTATTTAACATCCCTTTATTTAAACTCTTATAGAGACCCAAATAAACGAGAAGGCTGGAAATGTTAGAATTCTACTCGGCAGTTGCAACCTTTCAGCAATGATTGTATGTTGTTTTGCATCCCATTCGAGAATATTATGTAGAAACGTCAATATATACCGGTGAAGGCAATGGCTTCAAATTTTGACCTATGGCCATTGAGCAGTGAGACATCTTGATCGTGCCAACACCTGTCATGACACGGGGACTCGGTGTTTAAGGTCTCATTGTAGAACCCGCAACTTTCATTTCAAGGTGCCGAGCGCTCAGCGAAGGAACAGTTTTTATCGACTTAGAGATCGCGGCCGAGATCATCTGAACACAGAGTAAATGATTTTCTTTCAGCATTGAGGTTTTTTTTGTGCTGGCAGGCACTGAGACACAGGAACTTGGCCTATATTACTAGTATACGAACTCATTGGAAGGATCGATTACCAAGTCCTGTAGCTAGTGGGATTCATACTTTACAAAAAGATACAGAGCTGGTGAGTGCAAGCTAGGTTTGTCATGATCAAGAATACAGCTAGTGTAGTCAAATTCAGATTTATAAAAATGTTTGCATGCACTTTAACATGAACGCAGGGCCGGGATAATAGTTATGAGCTTGATAGTGTATTGGTCTTCTTTTATACATAGCTAGAAATTGTGCAGCACTGAAATCACAGTTACCTGGTTATGGGTCTTTTTTTCCTCTTCTTCTAATTGCACAAGGGTGAATCTAAATGGATCATCAAAACTTACACCCATAACGTAGTTGACAATGCCATCGACAAGTGTACTTTTCCCAGAACCAGTTGCACCGACAAGCAAAATCGTTTTATCTTCTTGAGCATCCAGTCTTGGATTCCCTGTTTAGTAATATTTGATCACTTTATTGACATAGTTATTAAGGAAATAATTCTTTATAAAAGGTAGAATTGTCAAAAGCCCGCTATCCTGTCAGAGTCAGACGAGTTGCTTACTATTAAGAAATAAGAATATACCATGATCTTGAGCTATACCTTTACAGACAACTTCACAGTCAGTTGTTGATTTTAACGTAATTCAATTGTTGGTCTTTTTTTTGAAGTTGGACGATGATAACTTTATACAATTATATGATGGCTATGAAATGATGTAGAATAAGGAACAGCAATCATTCTCATAAGTCCATCGAAATAAAACAAATCAGGAGCCAAGTCAACTTCTGGTGTCATGTAGGAGTAAGCAACCCCTGTTGACCAGTCAAGGCCCCGTGTGCTCCTTGTCATGATCAGGAAAAACGGAAATAATTTGTACACGATTCAGTGTTTAAAAATCGAGTTGACATATGAATGGACGTAACTATTATCAAGTTATTTTATACGTTGTATTTCTTTATGAATTAGTAAGAACAGGTTCAAATTTTGTAGAATTAAAGTAAATTCATGTCTGAACAATACTTCAGATATACACTCATATTCGAGTAATGTATCGTTATTGAGTATGGAATAATTCAAATTAAGGATAAATAGGTAGATTCCATGCGTAAAAGAGCAGAATTTGCTGCTGAAAAATATTCACAACTTATTGTGAGGTATATAGTTTGCAGTATCTCTACGTTATGTGCGTAAGGATCTAACAACATACCAAGAATAAGTTGCCTTGTTTTTGCTTTTGGGTTTCTAGCTCTTCTGTTTTCTTGTGTAAGGAGCTGGTACTTTGGTGGATTCGTGTTTTCAATTTTGATAGAGAATTTGAGTAAATATGTGGCGAGAGACTCAGTTGTCTTTATTCCGCTGTTTTCTGGGCCATAACTTCCTTCTTGATCTTGATGCACGCCTCGCACTTGAAAAGTATATACCGTGTCAGCCATCAAACCATTGATGATAATTTGGTTGTGATTATCCTCAGTTTCTACAAACTTCCATTTTTCTGTACCGCCTTTACTCTTGTAACGTATTTGGTAGTAGTCTACTTCCACATTAGGTCTTATCCAAAAAAGTTCAACAGAATCGGATTGTATTTTTAAAGCCTTTGGCTTCCCTGGAGTCTGAAATAAAAAAAAAATGTGAAATCAGTATTTTCAATTTATTATACGATTTGTTGATGTTTAACTTTTCCTGAAGTATATGATTTGACTTTAACCAATATTGAATTCTAAACAGTAGCAACCAAACCTTTGCCTTTGTTTCTTCTTGTTTCCCGTTTTCATTTCTGGAAATCAAAAACAAATTTATCAAAGAGCAGCCCTAACAAGAAAAAAAATTAGAATCAGAACATCTCTAATACCTCTGAATAAATGTTGCTACTGCATTTTCGTAATCTGGCATTTTACTCAGGTCTTCATTTAAAGTATGACCTCTTCCAGACCGTTGCTTTAGATGTTGATTGGCGCATGTTGGACACATCGGTTCGGGATCCTCACAATCGACGCAAAAGTGTGTTGCAACATTTTTTACATTCTCAAATTTACAGGGTTCGCACATAATACTTTTAATAAGTTGATGTACATTGCGACAAATTTCGTGATTTCGATATTTTTTTTGTTTCAAATGAAGGGTTATGCAGTCTTCACACATTGGCTCAGGTTCCTCGCAGGTAATGCAGAAAGCTGAAGCAACACGTTGTACCTTGTTGTAAGTGCAGTTTTCACACAAAACATCGCTTGAAACATTTATCAAAGGGAATTTTGTCAAATCTTGACAGATTTCATGTCCACGAGTTTTTTTCTCGCGGACATGCTGTGCTGCACACTTGTTGCACATTGGTTCAGGTTCTTTACATGACAAACAGAAGCAATTTGCATCGGAATCATCCTGATCAAATGCGCATGGTACACACTTCGTTATTGAATTCTGGTTTAGATAGTTTTCTTCATCCTCGAAGCTTTCTTCATTGAAACTTGACATATCATGGCAAAGTACATGATCATTATATTTTTGTAAGTGTTCTTTTGAGCAGTTCTCACATAGTGGCGTCGCATGATGACAAGAAATACAATACGTAGACGCAGGGATTTTATCATCGTCAGGACATATACAGCACATTGGTACTGCAGTGTCTGATAATATAAAGGCATGGGAAATTATATCTATCCATTCGTGATCAAGCAAGCCATTGGCCTGATGATCAACTCTGCATTCATGGCAGAAATCAGAATTACAGGAATGGCAATGGTGATAGGCGTCAGCATTACAGGTAAGGCATGGAAACTTTTTGCCTAAAAATTCTGCCACCAATATGGTTTTATGTTCTTCAGACATGTGTTCAGAAGAACAACCATTACACAGTCTCGTTCTGCAGAATGTGCAAACATTTTCAACAAAATGGTTTTCTTTTCGGCAGTTGAAGCATCCTTCCTTTGGAAATAGTTCCTCCTTGAAAACAATTTCATTTTATTAAAAAAAATATGGGAAGAGACTGAAGTACAAATGAAGTTGTCACTACTCACTGGACATTCACTTACCTGGTTTCTAGAGATGTGTTCATCTTGCGCATTTTCATCTTTAACTGCTTTGTCGCTGTTGTCTGGAGATTTACTGTTAAAATTTGTTAAAATTTAACATTTATAGTGGTTCAAATTTTACAGAACTAAAAGAATAATGTGTTAAACATATATAATGTCGAACGTGGTTGATGCAACGTGTCTGCTCATATCATTGCAAGGATTGCTTAGTTATTAAAAATTGATTATATCTCTAAAACTTCGGTTATTGATGATTATAATTTAATTAAATTTGATTTTCACTTCACTACATTAGTGTATTTTAGTCAAGTTGTTTGGCCTCAACAGACCAGTTTAAGTTTTTATTATCGTTATCTGCTTTTGAATATTGATTACTGACCAAAACATGATGGGAAAAGTAACGTTTAGCATACTGATAGCCTAATTTTATATTCAATTACAACGAGAAACTCCAAAATCAATATACACATACTGAATTATGATTTATATTATAGTATTGTAAATAATATATGAACCATTGAGAAAAGATACCTTTTTCTCAATAAAACTAAATCTGTACATATGTTGTGTTTGGCATATTCCTCATTTGCACAATGGCGTCTTGAGCAGGGTAGACACAACACTTCTGGATCTTCACAATCTTGGCAAAAACCATAACCAATGATAGAGGAATCCAAACAAAGATCGCAAATCATTTGGCCGTCTTGTAACCTCACTATCTCGTGAGTTTTTGTAGACTGTTCTAACTTATGGCGTCTACCACAGGTATTGCACAAGGACAAATTCTCATCTTTGCACAGTAATGTTGCCTCGGCATCAATATTTTCTTCTGTACACGTTGAACAGATAATTTTTTCTCCAACTGGTTCACTTGCCTGCAAAATGTCTAGTTCTTTAAAAAAAAGGTTTAAAGTCTTTCTGATGACTTGTTTATAATATTGTCTAAAAAGTCCAATTTGAAATCAAATGAAAATAATTCTAGCATAACTTGATGGGTGAAAATGGCTTTATTTGAGAATAGTAGACATCTATTCCAGTACGTTATCGCTTTTATCACGGGAGGATCGTAAATTACTCTTCTAAATTCCAGTTAAAGATGCCCTAAAAATCATGCACAATTGATATCACTTTTAAGCCCTGCCATGAAAATGATCATGGCATATAGAGTTTGCCATGTCGTTCCTTCTATCAGTTCTTCCATCAGCCCTTCCGCCCCTCTTTTGCGTTTAGCTCAGTTCAATTGATTGATTGATTGATTGTATTATATCGTGGAATTTTGTAGAACTACCTAACTTTCCCTAAAGGTGCATAGAGACATTTTAGAAGTCAATATTTTCATAAAATTTTAAATATATTTTCGTGTGAAATTGCTATGTAAGTCGTGATATTATACAGAAATTTTGAGAACATTTTAACTTCAAATATGTGTCCATGCACTTTTAAAATGCTTTCCATTATTTGGCTAAATTTTATGTTTTGTTTTTACAAAGGATAATTGTATACTTTGTGACAGCTCATTGACATCAAGGTTTGCATTCAGCTACTGTTAATATAAGGATTTCTATACACTGAAATATGTTTATTCTTTAACTTATGTTTCATACGAGTTATTTCGAATTTAGAATTTCAACTAAAAATTGATTTGGAGAGCATTTTTTATTTTTGATTAAAGAAACTCTTTAAAGACAATGGAGAAATGATGAAGGAAAAACAGCTTACTGAAATTGTCAAAATGCATGCAAATAAAGTTTTCAGATAAAATAATGCTTAGAATACATGTACTTTGATTTATATTGAATGACAGTTCAGAATACAGTTTTTCTATTTAATGTCAAATGGTGGATCAGTCTAACTTCTTAAAAGTTTCCTGAAATTAGGGGTCCATGTAGACTGTACATAGAGAGGATTCTTTAAAATTATTAGTCACTATGGTAGTTTTGAGTTGGAAGGGTAAAGACTATTTTATTCTTCCGTCACATTTTACGGTCTGTTGATCACATGTAGTTTACAAGGATTACGAATATTATGCAATCACCATTCAACAGCACAGAATAGGACCACAAAGCGAGCTAAAGCAGACCTCCAAAGCGTCGAGGGGGGGGGGGGGGGGTCAAGTACCATGGAATAGAGAGCATCCCATATGCCAACCGGTCAAACACGCATGCTTATAAAGGCCAAACAATGCATATGGAAAATGTCAATCAGCATGTGACTTAATGATAAATTGTATTTGCTGACAAGGTTCTGGTTAAACGAGGCTGCTGATAATCTATATCTTGATTCACACACTATACTTTTTGCTTATCTAATCAGCTGACATATCTATATAAAACTCGTATGCAGATTATGAAGCTGCATTGCTGCAATGCTGGCTATCGCAGCAATGTACATTCATTTAGGGATGTTGACAAATGAAAAGCTGAAGTCATCTCGTTTGTCATAAAGTGTGGTTGTTAGAATACCATGAGCGTTTCTGAATATCTGAATATCTGAAATATAGGTGTGGAATATTTTGTTTCAAGCTCATAAAATACCGGTATATAAAATACCGTATAAGTGGAAACTTAAGTGAGACGCAAATTTAGCGATTTGTCCTTTAAAATCTAATTTATTTTTAGCGAGATATTATTTTAGCGATTTTAAAATGTATATTAAAGAAGCTATTACAAATAAAATACAATCAATTTTTAGCGATATTCAATTTTAGCGATCTCGGCATCCTCGCTTATAATGCCAAAATTAAATCCTTACTAAAAATTCTACTTATACGGTACTGTGTTTTTAAATTTAAGATTAGATCAAACTCATTGGTCAAGGTAAAATGTTTTTCAAAATATTTATAATATCCACAGAAAGAAATTATCAAAGGAACTACACTTTAAGAATAAAAGATCAGGCGCCAACCATTAAAAAATTGATAAGGGTTGAACTTGGTACAATGGATCACTTCTAGGTAAACATGCGTTGGCTTATAGGGCTGATATTGGTTTCAGTCAGTAGAAACAGCTTATCGATTTCCTTTCTCCTATGACTTAAGGTCATATGCGTGTATTATTTTTTTGTAATTCAAGCTTTGGTTCTAGTAAATAAATTTAACGTGTAGAATTAGAGAGTTAGGAGTTAGAAAAAAAAGTTTTACAGTCATAATCTAAGTAGCATGAGTTGTGGACGCATTTGTAGTTTATTTGTGTATGAGGTTCCTTGGTAATGACAACGGGACATAAAACCTTAACTTACCATACCCAACTCATTTCATCGCCCGCGTAGTGCAGTGGTTGGTTAATGCGTCTGCTCTAGAGCCATGAAGTAAGGAGTTGATCCTTACTTCGCGGGTTCGAATCCCAATGTGGGATGTGGAGACCGTCCTTCGGATGAGACCGTATAAATTGAGGTCGCGTGTCGCATTAGCAGGTGCTGGCATAAAGAAGATCCCTAAATGCTCATTGGCCCTACGTGTCGAGTATATGTCAACATTTGCAGTTCTACAATGGCAAGTGATGGCGTCACCACAAGAGTGACAAAATCTCAAGAGGGACGTTACAGAACAAACAAACCCTACTCTCTTTTCTGACTAGCAATATTCCTCCTGCATTTTTGGCATAAAATATCGCCATAGCACACATTTCCCCCGAGGAATAGACAATATCTACTCTAAAGTGACCTCTCCCTCAATAGTACTTTTTCTTTAGAGATTCCTTGATAGGCATAATTTTGTTTGTGACACAACGGACAAATACGCTTTTTTGGCCAACTTTGCAGGATAATATTCTAAAGTTGCAAATAGCAGATTTGAAAATGTAAACAGATTTATGGTATTAAACAACTAAGAACGATGATTTTTTAATTCAAATGTTACCTTTTCCAGAAAAAATTCTTTATCATAGTTCAAATTGTTTGTAATTCCTAATACATATTTATGTTTACGTGGATCAACTAGAAGGTAAAGAACTCAAATATACTGGTATCCAAAGAAAGAATTCTTCACAATATACATGTATGCACAATTAAAATGTGATAGCAATACCCTTCATCAATAAAAACTATGAGTAAGGTTAAAGGATTTTTTGCATGTATGATCACCATTTGTGACTCAACCTTTTATTGTGTTATGTCACAAACAAACAGTACCAATTGTGCTCCGTTATTAGCAGACCTTTCTTGTATTCATAAGAAACAGAATTTGTCCAAAATCTTAGGCGCGAAAAGAAGAAAACACTTGTTGTGGCCTTCAATTCGACATTAGATATATCGACGACGTATTGTCAATTAACAATGGCGATTTCCATATCCTGGTGAGCTTGGGATAAAAAAAATACCACAGTCTGACATATCTGTTCGTACTTTATATTTTACTTGAAAAAGACATTAGTGGTACTCGAACAACCAAACTATATGATAAAAGCGATGACTTTAACTTTTTCTATCGTCAACTACCCTTATTTAATAAGCAATATACTAGTACCTTCATCACCTGCATACGGAGTTTATATATCTCAGTTGAATTGATACGCAAGAGCATGCTCTACGTATGAACAATTTCTAAAACGAGATCAATTATTGACAAACAAGTTGAAGAAACAAGAATAAGTTTTCTTTAAAGTCACCAGTTCGTAAGTTCTACGGTCGATACAAAATGACCTTGTCAGCAAACACATTTTATAATTGAGTTAAATGCTGATTGACGTTTTTTCCCCAAACTAATTATTAGTCCATTATCTATATACACTGAATTAACGAAGGATTTTCCCGTTATTTCCCAATCATGACAAGGAGCACACGACTGTTGTGACCGGTCGGCAGGGGGTGCTCACTCCTCCATGGCACCTGATCCCATATCTGATGTTTTGGAGGTCTGTTCGCTCTGTTCCTATTTTGTATTGTTTTATGGACTTTTGATCTTGAATACTGTTTGTTATCCCTATATGTTTCATTTATAAAATAGTCATGTCTTTAATAAAAATGTATTTAAGAATACAAGAGGCTACTCTAATTTGATATGATTCTTCATGGATTTATCTTAAGGAATCATCCCTTATATTGAACATGGATTGAACAATTTTTAATTTACATGTATACAACCTCAAAAAGCTTTTTAAAAAAATTAATTCCAGCTTTTATAGTACAGTGGATTTTGAGAAAAATTAATTTTAAAGTTGTTTTCATGTATTTTAATGTAAAATCTTGATTATCTTTCCATGGAAGAGGGCTTTGCACTTCATTATAACAATTAAAAATCTCCTTTACTTAAAATTGTTTTGTACTAATTTTGGTTACAATTGGGCCTAATATTTTAAAATGTCAAAGTGTATAGACAGACGGACAAACAGACATAAAGACAGCTAGAGAGACTGACGGACGCCGGACAGCAGATAAATCAGAAAAGCTCATTTGAGAATTCAGCTCAGGTAAGCTAACATAAGCAAAAAAAGATAATCAAACCCACATATATACGAGGTTTGATACAAAAGTTCGTTGAATTTCTTTCTGAAATTTATCGTGAATTTATGAAAGCAAACAACAGATAAATTTATAATATAGATTAAGTTATAATGCAATTATATTGGACAATTTCACCACTTCCCAAATACCAGTTAGGTCACACGAGCTTTCTGAAGATGAATAGTTCTGAAATCTGGGGGAGACTTCGACGTTACGTCAAGTTAGGTGTGCCTCGTCACGTTATAGAAGCATCTCATCCTAATGTCCATTTCAAATACGTAATTCTACAAAATGCTGCCCTTCCTTCATTTCCTTTCTCATGAAAAGCCTGGGTACCCTCTCGCACCAACGCATCTTCATTTTTCACTTATATTTCAAAATACCTCCCAACTTTCCATATGATGTTCCAATTTCAGTAGCAATGTCAAGAACAATACTTAAGCCAAAAACGTCCATTAATGCTTTTGATTTGTCTAGGGGGATAAACACTTAAAATAGAGCCTCCAACAAGCGGCCACACCTTAATCAACGTCCATAGAATATTTTTCCCCTAGATTTCTTATGTCACTGGAAAATCAGTAACTAAATGCATTTTTCTCCAGCCTATGTCAATGATATGATAGTAATCGTTTAAGTTGGAGTGATCCCGGAATTTTCACAAAACTTAGGACTTGACTAAAATTGATATTGTCTAATAACTTAAAGATGAACAATAAATCATCAACTAATAAACTAAATATTTAGTAAAATCAGTAAAACTCTCACACAAAGGTTTATAAATTAAAGATAAAGCAATCGTAATAATAACATAATTTTCGTTTTGTACATGTATACCACATATAAGACTGTTTATTCCCATTTCACGTATTAAGAATTAAAATAATAATTAAAGCGTTAATGTCTCCCCAGCATTTCCAAACAAATGTTTCTATGGCAACTGACATAGAGTTACTACCATTAATATTTCATTTTTTTTTAAATTTAAGATATTCAACGAGTGTCTATATATTACTAATTTGTAATTTTCAACCAATTTCATTTAAAAATAAAAAATAAATGAATAAATTCCACGAACTTTTGAATCAACCATGCACGTAGATAAAATATTCTCAACCTAACTTACAGTTGATTCACTTTCTTCACTTTCGTTTTCTAATTTATTCTTTTTCTCCGACACGACAGCGTCACTAGAACTAGAAGAACACATGAAAGCGTAAACAAATAACTTAGAAAAATTAAATAATGATAAATAATGATAATTTCATGTACATTAAAATGGATGATGCTGTGTATTATCTATAAACCTTTCGATCGGATCATCAGGTTGCAAACATGGCGGACAGCTTGACTTGTTATCCTCTGGTCCCGAGTCTGCCATTTCAGTTTTTCTTTGGTTGCTGAATACAAAGTTAAGTGTTAAGTGATATGTGTTCTTACATTCTTCCCACTAAAGAAAGTTAATTTCAAAATAATCACATCACTACACTGACGGGTATATGTAGTTCTTTTATGTCAATATTAACAAAAGAAAACAAGATACTTGTAAAATCTATATAATAAACACTATAACTATATAATCTATTCATTTAAACTGAAAAACTATACAAAATATCAAAATAACCCATTCATTTACCCTTAAAATGAACACTTCAGTCATAGAGTACTTACCTAGATAACTGCTGCAATGCTTACTCAGCACTGCTTAGGAACCTTACCCGTCGTGATTATCACCTGACTGCATACGTAACGCAATGTCATTGTGCATAATTAAATGTATTTTAATTTCTACGTAACGATAAAGAAAGTAGATGGTTTCTATTCAAATTCATTTTTAGAAAAGCTGATCGATTATTTCTAAATAAAATTCAGATCGATATATTCTGCCAATGTTGTGAAAAGTTCCAATTATTGGCAAGGCTTGAATGATTTTTTTTACTGTTACGGACTTGTGTGCAATATGAATGCATTGCACATTAATCTAACTGAATCTTTTTAGAATCGACTAAACAAATATCATTACTTATGAGAATTTACCGGAAAATTCATCTAAAAATATTCTTCACTTATCAAAAAGAAAATAAATAAAATGAAGAAATATGCACATGTATATGTAAAAATAGAAATGGGACCCTAAACACACGCGTACGTATAAATTATTTAAGGTTTAAACTTGTAATCTCTCATTATTTTAACTCGTTAAATAAAACATTTTTGTAAGTTAAAATTACTAGTGTTGCAGATGAGATTGAGAATACATCAGTCCGTACATAAACATATAAATTTTTATTCTTGATTTTGCATATATGACAAATTCCCATAACATGACGCAGAATTATTGGCAATAATTCAATCTTATCTATAGTAAAACAAAAGATATTGAAGGAAGACAAACATGAACCTGCCTTATAAAAATATGCCCATTAACACGACATATCTGACCTGAATTTAAAACAGTCAAAAAGATATCATTAAGAACCTAGCTGTAGCGACCTTTAATAAAGACAAATTTAAAAAAAAAGGTTCATCGATTTTTTTTTTACAAACAATGTAAAAATATTTCCCCTTATTTGCTGTAAACTTTTTCATTGCTTTTGAATTAGATTTATACTTAACCCGGACTTTCATAAGTTTTATTCTGTGATTTTAAGAAAGGGCAAGTGAAACAAGTGATGATCGCCATTATGAACAGTTAAACAATAGGACTTGATGGATATAAATATTATTCGTCGAAGAAGCCAAAATATATCAACATTGCGATATACTTCGCAGATTGGTGAAAAATTTAACATATGATAAAAAGTTCATTATATACTCATAAACAAAAATGAAAAAAAAAATGCTGTTTTCGATCATGTTACGTCCAGCAAACAAACCACTCTGTGATGTTGATACTAAAAATATAGGAAGTAGGAAAATGAGATATAAATTTAATGAAAAATATTCCCTATCTGCATCCTGATAGTTCGTAAATACCCAATATTAAGTTCTCCTAGATATGCATAAAAATAATAAATTAACCCGAATAATCAAATTCCACGTTGAACGATGTTTTGGGCCTGATATGATATAAATAACATATTTGGATGCATTGGTCAGTGTTATTTTGAAAGCATACCTTTTGCTGATTTAAAGCACATCTTGATAAAATACAAACTTTTCTTTCAATAATTGGTCGCCAAAGAAATTTACGGATTTTCCTTGCAATATTCTTACAGCGAAGATTTGTTTTAATTAAACATCCCTCTCGAGAATTTTTTCACTCAATCACACATTCATTCAATGGAAACCCTATACATTGCGAGTTCAGGGTTGCATATTCAGAGTCTTATAAAAAGTAATGCATCGGATTGACCATTAAAACAAGTTAGAATGTATGCATAAATAGAAGATTGTATTGAAATGTTTATTCAGGCAAAGAATCAACTGCATTACAATCATAATACAATTACTTTAATAAAAACAAAATGTGTTTGTGAAACACTGATGCCCCCGTATATGGCAACATAGCAAAGATTAAACGTTTCTTAAATGCAAATTTAATGGTACCAAAAGTAGGGTATTCTCACTGGAAAACAATTGTGAAATTTGAAAGTAGGCCAATGTTAAAGTTTTTTCAATCAGTGCAAAATCTCCAAGATCAAGGTCAAAGGGTCAAGGTAATTGGTATCCAACGAAAGATCTTGCCACATAGAATACTTATGTAGAGTATGAAAGCCTTAGCCCTAACCGTTCAGAAGTTATGGCCAATGTTAAAATTTTTTTTGAAGTAGGTCAAACTCTAAGGTCAAGGTCAAAGGGTCAAATTTCTTGTTAGCAAATGAAAGGTCTTGTCACAAAGATTAAATATGTAAAGTATGAGAGCACTAGCCTTAACCCTTTAAAATTTATGGTCAAGGTTTGCTTTTTTAAAGTAGGTCAAACTCAAAGATCAAGGTCAAAGGGTAAAAGTGCTTGGTATCCAATGAAGGGTCTTCTCACAAGGATTACATATATAAAGTATGAAAGCCCTTTATCTTACCGTTCAAAAGTTATGGCCAAGGTTAAAGTTTTTTCACAAGTACAGAAATCTACAAGGTCAAGGACAAAGGGTCAAGGTTGTTGGTATCCAATGAAAGGTCTTTCAACAAACATTACACATGTGAAGTATAAATGTCCTGGTATCTACTGTTCAAAAGATATGGCCAAAGTAAAAGTTTAAAATTTTCATGTAAAAGTGGGTCAAACTCCAAGGTCAAGGTCAAAAGGTCAAATTTGGTGGTACCCAAAGAAAGGTAACAAGGAATACACATATGAAATATGAAAGTCATAGCTCAATTAAATCAAAAGTTATGGGCAAGGTTAAAGTTTTTGCGGACAAACAGAGAGACAGACAGAGAGACGGACGGACACGTCAAAAACTATATACCCCCGAAACTTCGTTTACGGGGGCATAATAATTTGGGTTATCAATTTTTTCCTACATATGAAATGTTTCTCATTATATAAAAAATGAAAATATTTATATGTATGCATTACTTATTACAGAATGATACACTTTTTATATCAAGTCCTGTATCAGTTTCCCCAATAAACTAATATTAGCTCAGAAGGCTGAAGGTCCGAATGCTGATATTGTTCAAAGGCTGATACAGAATTCGATATGGAAAAGGGTATGTTTAATCATGTTTATTTACTTTATTACTTAATTAGTACTTAATATTACATAATTAGTACGAAATTAAACTTGATAAAAATACAAGTAAATATACTGCGAAATCAATAACTTTTTAAGGGATTTAATTTTCGTGGTTTTTTAAGGTATGAAAAGACCCACGAATTTATGTCTACCTAGAAATGCAAATTTTCACATATACTACTACTGAACATTTCTTCAATCACGAAATCAAATCCACAGTAAGTAACCAACATATTTTCCTCTAACCATGAAAAATGGACACCTCGAAAATATGCGATTTTACAATAACCCAGCACTGAATATACTGACATGTAGCTTATAGTATCAATGAACAGTAATTTAAAATTAAGAGATTGTGAAAAAAATACTTGCATATACACAATTGTTGTTTTAAGGTTTAGTATAGTTACTATAGAGGCGTGATATGATTAAGGAATAACAGTATAATTTTTGGTTTCATGATGTGTTTTATCGAGTGGCTTGCGTAATTATGCATAAAAATTTACACAAAAGGTAATCGATTGATCATCGACATGAAACCAAAAGATCTGACAGTTATTCCTTATATTTACACGACTTATATATGCTCTTGATTCCACAGACCTACGTGCTCTTAGCCGCGCTTGAGTCTAGAGCTATTTTTCCCGACCCAATCTGATATTTTTACCCGCGCCTATCGGCGAACAAGTAAATTTAATGTAGAAATAAAGTATTTTTACAATTTATAATTTTATCTTGAACAAAGATATTGGAAATATAAATATAACGTACCAACCCTGCAGATCCATTTCAACCCTCCAGGATTCTAACGGTTCTGGATGCTACGACTATGCTGACCTATTGTTACTATTTATAACTTTGAACACTCTGTTTTACAAAGTTGGATTTGCCTGACGAAGCATTTGAATGGGCTTAATGAAATGATTATAAAATACCTCATTAGATTCATGCAAATTTAGTCGCATTATGATGCTTTATCGTTAAGCAAGCAAATACAGAGAATTGTGATCCCCTGCTTTCGGTGTTTTAGTGGTAAAGCACATGTGAAATATGAAAGTATCATCTCTTATCCAAAAGGTTTGTCTAAAGTTAAATTTTTTTTGAGAGACTGACTGAGGGACGAACAAAGAAATGAAATTGAAAGCGGAGGACAAAAAGACGGAATAAACAACGATACTATAATTTACATTATACAAGTATGACATGTATAAGGATATGTATAAGGAATCGTTATATGATATGTGCAGTTAGGTAACATCGCCGAGAAAACGTGCAAAATGATACTTTCAAAAGAATTAACTACATATTCAATCACATTGAAAAGTGAATGAAGTTTTCTTTTTCTAAATAATGAAGAAACTATTTTTTTTTTCAAAAAAATCGTTTGATAAAGTTAACAGGACCCTCTAATATTCCTTTTCTTTTTGGTTTTATTTGTTTTTCGCACCCCACTACGACATATACACGGTCAATTGTTTTATTTGCAGCTTCACGTAGATTTTCTACTCGCTCTTCTATAAGTGCAGCGTGCAACACCCTTTCAAGCACGGCAATGCGTTTATCATATCCAGGCTGTTTTTCACTCTTTTGTGCTTCAATGAGAATCTTAATATGGTCCCCAGAAGTCAATGGATCAGGTTTCAATGCGATTTCGTTAAGTTTATTTTTGCATCTTTTCATTTCTTCAACATTTTCCTTTATTTTCTTGAACACTTCGTTTATATCGCATTTAAGATTGTGAATATATGTTTCATAGTTCATGGTTTCTCCTACAGCATCTTCATATTTTCTTTTCATTTCAGCATACATCTTTTTTACCTTTTCAGTTTTAAATCTAAATATATAAGGTGTATTTTTATGATCGTACCAATCACAATGACCTGGACAAATTTCACATTTTCCTGTAGCCCTATTCATTGCAGCACACCTGCTTTTGTGTTCATCGTCCGCGATTTTGCAGTCTTCATGACATGTAAGATTACAATGCATACAGTTTGTAACATGTTGACCAGGGGGCAATTTTATTTGTATTTGTTTTATTTCATCTACCTCGTATTCAAAGTTTCTATTTGCATCAATGTCTGCTTTGTGCTTCTCTAGAACGCGTACTTGATCTTCCAACTCGTTCACTTTTGTGAGACCCGCATCGACCTGGGGTTGAATATTGTGAATTACAGTTTTTAAGTGCTCTCTTTCCTCAAGTACATCTTTTGTGAGCGCGAGACTTCTTTCTTTGTAGCATTTGAGAGCACCAAAGAAATTTTGAAAACTTTTTTGTCCCATATCCCAAAACATTGGGGTCAAGGAATTCCCATCTATAGCTTTATTGTCTTCAAATAGCGCCGAATTATTAAAAACAAAGTGATTTCCAAACGGAAGCTTTGATTCATTTAGCGCTGCTAATACAGGTGGTTTTGCACCGTCAGCAAACGTAATCAACGAGCATATATTTGATTCAATATATTTGCCAAAAAGAGACATAATTGAATGAAAGATATATGTTTGTGTAGGTGTGAGTCGAGCGTCGGGTGCTTTGACAATAAAACATACACAATCTAAAGAAAGCAGATTTGGTGGGCTTTTATCTGTGAAAAGATGTCGAATTTGATCAACAAGAAGCTCATCCCGTTCAATTCCCCTTGTGTCTCCAAATCCTGGTGTGTCGATGATATTCAGTGTATAATCTAAGCGACTACCTGTTTGTGGTGCTATCTTGTACACTGTTATCCACTCCGTCTGTGAAATAGCCTGTTTAAAAGAAAAAGGGTCATTTATATGCATTATAATGCTACTACCTCAGATGGTAAACAGTTTACATCACTTCAACCTTTGGTTGCTTTTGCAAAAACAATGTTTTGAAGGGGTAATTGTTGATTTGCTTTTTGGCATAAGACAAACAACTATTCTATTAAAATACTACTTTGGATTCTTATCTTTATATTGGTCATCTATTAATTTACTTTATAAAAACATTTTTCTGCACATACTAAGACTGGGGCTAATATTAAAACATACACTGAACTTCTTTGGCAATATCATATAGTTTTTGGAGACCATTAGACCTTTTAAAAAATCATTTAACTGACAATAGAGATGGACAATTCTGTAAATTATTTGTTTAGATTGTGTACAATAAATCACATGTAGTTTAACGTAATAGAAATATTAGATGTTTAACAAAGAAATATTATATAAAATTGGATTTTCTTTCTAAGTCGTAGGATATGTTTGAAAAAGTCTACAGGGTATATTATAACTCAAATTTAAGAATATATTCATCTGTATTTAAGGGATATTTTTAAAAAGTAAAATGCATATTGAAAATTTCGCTGTAATTTGAAAAGTATTTCAAAATTAGGATAAATAACTTGAAATTTTATTAAAGTCTGATTTAAAGTAAGATATCGGGCCTATGGTCTTACAAACAACCTTTTAAATGCCATATACTTGTTTCTGATGACAAGTCTTTTTTTAATGAAAAGTTTTCATATACTGGAAAACAGAATTAAAAAATTACATGAGAACAATACTAATATCCTGATGTGTGGTTCAATTTGTTTTGTTACATGTATATCGATGGAATATAATTTATTGACATTAATAATTAATTTTATTCCTACATTGATTCCATATCATGTTATACTCGACAAACGACCGAGCCCTAAACAATTGCTTCACACACTGATATTTCCATAAAAAGATACTGAAGGAGCTTACAGATTAAGCTTTTTAATTAATCGGGTGACTGCAACATTTTTTGTTAAACTCCCCTTTTTCGTATGTTCTTTGCTTCTTTACGTACATATATTGCTGAAATGACCATTATCGTCTGCATATAGCGAAAGATTTATTTATCTACTGAATCGAAAATAAAAAAAGAAAGCACTGATGTCGGTGACCCACTTGTGGGGGAATTTATTTTGTGATCAGGGCGTCATAGGTTCGATTTCTTGCTGCCATCGCTGCCCAAACCTACTGACTGTTCTTTCGCCAAAGCCTGAAACTAAAGATGAAAGTCATGGGACTTTCACATGAAACCTTTTAGCTGAGGTTCCTTGCAGTTGTTAGCATTGGCACGATAAATATCATTCGATCATTCCTCAGGCATAAGCGCAACACATACATGAAAAAATGTTGCATTTCGTTTAAAAAAGAAGACGTCTATACTGTGAAATCACAAATTTTCATGGGGGTTAAATTTTCGTTGTTTTCGAGATATGAGGACACCCACGAATTCATGTCCACCACTATATGTAAAATGGTACATACATTAGTACTCATGAAATCTTGATCCACGAATACAAATCCCCAGGAACCAAGAGATTTTTTCTCGAACCATAAAAATTTGACCCTACTAAAATATGTGATTTTACAGTATATGAGAAAAATTTTCGGTAAACAGCAAATAATCGATTAATGAAAAGAGACAAGCCACTGACAGTTAATTTGATGGCACGAGCGTGTAAATAAAATTATTTAAATTTATTATCTGGCAAATTCATAGTTGATATAGTTTGCTTGCACGGTTCGCACGGAAGCATGTTCGCTGAATCAAATTTTGATTGACTTCTTTCTTAAGAAAATGTTAATGAAGCCATTACTTGCTTACAGAATTGTCTATAAAGTTTCCCTTTTTACCTTACCATGAAGAAAGATCCAATGAATAAGATAAACATTTCATATGAACAATACGAAACAGCTCTATGTTATACCACTAGCCGCACATCATAAAAACCCTTCGTGACAAGTCCATGTGATTTGCACACCAGCAACATTCAAACCCTACTCATGAAAACACTATTCACACGTTTTAATCGACAAAATCAATCAAAAATATAAATAATCTGACTCAGAAACTTGAAATAATATCAGTCGTTAATTTGTAACATTCAAAATTGTGAAACACGAGGTTTTGTTGTAGGACGAACACGACTGTCACGTGAATGCCTCAGCCAATCAAATTCCTTTATTATTTGTGATTATTTATATTAGGTATAATAATACTGTTTGTTTTACGTAATATTAATTCAGTACTAGTGTACCAACTCATATATTTTAGAATAAAGTATCGTTATACCTAAGTGAACGAAGGACTAACTAGTTGACTGTCAAGTATAATATTATCAAATTGTGAAATTGATTTTAAAAAAAACTTGTTTTCAAAGTTATTTATATACCTACCTGGTTATCAGACTTTTTCTCTTCTTCCTCTAGTTCTAAAAGAGTAAAACGGAATTCATCTTGAAAGTTGACGCCCATGATATAATTTATGATTCCATCAACCATTGTACTTTTTCCACATCCTGTTGCTCCAACCAAAATGACAGTTTTTTCGTCTATATTGAGGGCACCGATTTTGGGATTTCCTTTAAAAATAATTATGAATACTTTTGAAAACTATATTAATCATTCAAAAATTTTACATAATAAATATCATTTTTCAAATTTATTTTTTAAAAAGCCACTCATTGATTACAAGAAAATGCAAAAAAAAAAAACATTATAAAAGGACATCTACCAAATCCTAGTTTTATTTCTTTGATTTTGGTTTCTGGTTTCCTTGCCATGTTGTCTGTGTGATAGGGCAGTTGAAAGGTAGGAAGAGCACCGTCTTTTACTTGTTTACAGAATGGTAGTATGGTGCTTGCCAGTGAAGGATATGTTTGAATTGGAAAACTGGGAGGTCCATATTCGCATGGAACTCCATTTTTTACCCCACGTACTTGGAAAATATATGTTGTTTCGGCTTTAAGCCCATCAACTCTAAATTCTCTTTCTTTGATTTGAGAATCTATTGGCATCCATTCGTACTCGTCTCCATATATAAAAGGTTTAAATCGGATTTGATAGTAATCGGCATGCTTTATTTCTTCCCAAAAGATCACTGCGAAGTCTGTCTTGTACTTCTTAATCTGCGGTTGGACTCCCGAAACCTTGTAATACATTAATACTTTGTGAAAAGTGTTCATATTTAATTTTATGCCAGATAAATAAAACTGCAAAAGTTAAACGTACAATAAATATATTTTAAAATCATTGTCATTATAGGCATATAAATAATATCTATTATAATTTGCTCCTTCATCAAGTATCATGCAAAGAAAAAAGGAAAACCTACCTTGGAGCTCTTTGATAATTGATCCCAGGTACACCTTAAAACAATTTCAATTGGGATTTATTAATGATAAACTGCATAATTTTTTAAACATTTTTTTTTAAAAACTCATACTTTTTAGACATTTGTAAAATATGAATGTAAAAATACTTACAAATTTATAGATGAACGGTTTGGCATCAGCTGAAATAAATCAGGTAAACTCTTACAGTCTTGATTTAGGTCTGAACTTTCGTCCAATTGGGTATGTATATGTAAATAAATGTCATGTCCTCTAGTGTCTTTCTGCTTGATGTGACATTTGGCGCATACATTGCACATTGGTTCGGGATCCTCACAACTAAGACATAAAGCAGATGCAATATTTTCAGCCTGGTCGAATAAGCAAGGTACACATTGGGTCTTTTCCTTAATTTTTTCTACAATAGGCAGTTTTCTTAGATCCTTGCATATTTTATGTCCCCGTGATAACTTCTGCTTTTTGTGTTGATATGCACATTGAGTACACATTGGGTCTGGTTCTCGACAATTTAGACAAAATGCTTCCGCCACATTGTCCTCTTTGTTATATGAGCAGGATTCACACATTATAGCATTTTTAACTGTGCCATACTTTTCTAACTCATAGCACACTTTATGATTTCTTGACTGTTTTTGTTTCAAATGCTGCGAAGTGCATTCTTGACACATTGGTTCTGGGTCATTACAAGTTAGACAGAAGCATGTTGCTGTCTTGTCCAAATTTTCGTATTTACAAGGTACACAATATAAAGTTTTTGTAAGTGTTTCTTCATCATCTTGTCTTTGGCTATCTTGGACAGTTTTGTTTGATGTTTTTCTATCATGTTCTGTTGAGCCTGCATCATGATTTTCCGATTTTGAGAAGTCATATGAAGTGGCCATCTTTGGAAACTCTCTGTTTAAACTAGATGAATACGTTTCACAGAGTCCCACTTCACTATTGGAAGATTTACATTCACATTCATTTTTAGCGCTTGTCACGGGAGTCACTGTACCAGATGTGTGGCTAAAAGATTAATTAAAATTCTTTCATTAACAAATTATGCAAAAGTAAGTCTAATTTGAAGATACTAATGACAAACGTCGTGCCCAAGTGAATATTCCTTTTCTAACTTGCAATGGATGATATCACTTTCATGTTTGCTGGATATTGAATTTAATTCAATTTGTTATTATAGTTATCTGCTACTGAAACTAATGTGAATATAGTTTTAGAATGCATGTATGTAGCTGTATGCCCATATAACCAACATTTATTTTTGATTTCGCTTTGAAATATATATGAAATATGGTGTACAAATATAAACAGGCCGTAGCCCAGTTTTCTGTGAATTCAAACAGTAACCTGACGCTGAAAATCAGACCGAAGCCAAGTGATTTTGTCCTAAAAAATGCACTTAGAACTATACCTTTATTTATTTCAAAGTACTGAGACAGTACTGAAAGACGAGGTCAAAATATTTTCATGGTAGATTTCAAATGTGATGTTTTTAACGAGTTTTGATAATTTTTTAATTAACCTACTAAAACAAAACTGTGAGTAAGATAGATTTGCGTTTTACATTTAATTTGATGTAGACAATTCAATAATTGCTAATCTAGAAACTTTTTTGAACTGTCTGAATTTCACATGGTTCGAATTATTATTTTTCCGGAAGTAAACAATGGAAAATGCGTACACAGTCCTAATAGTACGCAGAAGAGTACTTTGTTTACTAGTGTGTTTTACAATTAGTATTTTTAGTTTACATTTACAAAATGCTTCATTAATTTGATTTAGAAAAAGTTCATATCACTTTCCTCAGTTTGATACAGAATGTTTATATTTTAATCAAAACTATTTCTGCACTCTTTGGTATAGCGCAGATTTAATTCATGTGTTATCACCACGGTTTCCATTTTGAAAGCTCTGACAGTTAACTAATAGACGGGGTCACGTGACCCGTCTAAAAATGATAAATGTATCATGGATTCAATAAGGAGGTTATTATCTCATATTTTTTGTATTTAAAAACTCATAATATTTTCACAGAATCAAGAAGACAGTATTACTTTGTAGTGGTAAGATTTAAATTAAGATTGAATTGGACCGTTTTATTTTAAAAACAAGATCAGGTCAAGGTCATTACCTTTTACCTAGACATTCATTAACATTAACAATAAAAAGCACCATTGCCAATCATTTGATGTCTACTTCTGTTTCAAAATATTAATGATTTTCTTTTTCCGTAGAACGATATTACAAAATTAGCATAAATTATTCAACTAAAATGGATATCAGCTAATCCGAATTTTCTCTAATTTTCTTAAATTTATATTATAACATATAAGTGATTTTATATGCTTCCATTATTTACTTTTTCTTCTATTTTTACATATGGCAAAGGCGTCAAATAGAGATACAAATGATACAGAAATAAATGTTTTAATCGACTTATAAGAGAGAAATATAACTTACATTTGAACATTTCTTCAAGTCTTATGACTACGTAAAATCATTATTAAATTTATTGTTTGTTCTAACATATTTGGGGAAGAAGATAAAAGAAAGATATTGTCATATGCCACCATTCCGCCAACAATAAAGTCCCCGCTGGATATAAAATGAAGTTTACCATTTCCATTTAATGTTGTACAATTGTGATGAGGAAAGAAGAAAGTGGTCTTTTAAATCTCTTTCACCTTAATATGTAAGACCTATAAGCAAATATACTTTAAATATGTCATCTATTCAGAAACCAGAAAAGAATCCCACCTTAAGGACAGATAATACAAACAAAAAATTGATGCCTAAATTGGTATATATTTCCTGGTCTTATTTCATTGAAAATGATGTAAAATATAAATTTCTAGAATATGAAGAAATTGTAAACCTTCCATGATGTTCAAAATTCTACCTCTCTGAAACCATCCTTATTAATCTTTACAAATATTTTTCTCTTCCAATCCCATTTTTGTGAGAATTTGACTAAAAATTCAAAAACTACGCGCTTAAACTTATTCATATTACTCATTTAAACATGACTCAAGTTGTTATTTTCAAATTTTTTGACAAAAATTTGTCTGTATCATCTGTCTTTAATCCCAGAGAAGGATATGGAGATAACGAACAGTATTCAATCTCAAAGTCCATAAAACAATACAAAACAAGAGCAGAGCAAACACGGACCTCCGAAACATCAGAGGTGGGATCAGGTGCCATGGAGGAGTGAGCATCCCTTGCCGACCAGTCACACCCGCCGTGTGCTCCTTGTCATGATCTATCCGAGGGGCGCCAAATGAACTCCATGAGACTGTGTCCCTTATACACTCAAAGGAGTGTCGCCTTTTCATACTGGGCGACGCACCTGCCAGTATCATTTCGTTATTCTGTGTACCTATGAATGAATAGGTACCGAACGACAAGTATCCTCGGGGACAAACTGTCCACCTTAAGAGATACATGTTCGGTGGTTAAAAGAAGGATATGGAGATAACGAACAGTATTCAATCTCAAAGTCCATAAAACAATACAAAACAAGAGCAGAGCAAACACGGACCTCCGAAACATCAGAGGTGGGGTCAGGTGCCATGGAAGAGTAAGCATCCCCTGCCGACCGGTCATACCTGCCGTGTGCTCCTTGTCATGATCTATCTGAGGGGCACCAAATGAACTCAGAAAACACACAAAGCTGATAAAAATATAGGAAGCAACTATGCCATTGTGAAGATCATTTGACAAATTTGAATTACAAGTTTTGGGGCTTCCAAAGAGACGTCTAAAATAACAATTGAAGGCAGATATTAGTACGTATACGATAAAAGATCTATCAATGGCCCAAACAGTTTATTAATCAATCATATGTACTAGCATTCGAGTTAGGACAATGTGACTGAATTATGGTTTATGATAACGAGAAGGATATGGAGATAATAAACAGTATTCAATATTCTTGATTGTTAGATTACCAGGTTTATTATTACCGAAATACAATTCTAAGTTTATTCAATTTATTACAGTTTTTTTTATTTGGAACATAGTTGAATATAAACAATAGTTTTGGGAAATTTTTTCAGTGTAAAAAACATGTTATTTTGTTTCATTAATATTGCTTGTTATGAGATATGATTCTGTATCTTTGCTTAAAAGAAAGGATGGATTCTTAAAATTTTTCAAGGATAAAAAATCAATAGGTCCGAAATAAAACATTGTCAAGGCATATGTTTAAGCTAGTTTAGGACATGAATAGTTTCAGCAACACTCTCAAAATAGTTTTTGGAATGAATAAACGCATGTGTTGTACCCTTCATCCGATGATAAAAGATGCGTTGAACTATCTTCATCCGAGTCTTTGATTTGAGACATTTTGAAATTTCTAAGAGAAAAAGAGAAAAAAAAGATATTAGATGTGGATTTTTTTATTCTATTTAAACGAATTCTGTTTAGTAAACTACATTTAAAATTACTTTTAAAATTAAAACAACCTGGTGCAAGTACAGTGGAGCCTCATTTATCCAGATGTTTTGGTTTTTAGTCAAATTTGTCGGATATGTGAGGCGTCCGGATATCTGAATTAACAGTTAAACAAGACAATTTCAACGAAAAGTCGTCCGGATACTCAACCATCCGGATATCTGAAGGTCCAATGTAAATAATCTTGTATGAATGGATCGATTTGAAAATCAATTTTAATCCATATACAAAAGTGATTTGTTAAATAAATTGATTTCATCATGTAATATATGTTTTACTTCTTGTTGAATCAGTTTTTGATATTAATTTTCTTTCAGATAATGTCGAATTTTGCATTTAGCTCACTTTGCTAACTAAATAATACACCCATAACGGTTGTAATGGCAAAGTCCATGTTTTGCTGTGAAAGACCATGAATAGATGTCAGATGAAAATGTAAAATAGGAGGTACAAAATGGCATTATGTAATTAAAAAAACTGTATAATTATCATTAAATTTCATTGAGTGGTATATAAGAGATGGATATCCTCCAATATGATAGAAAAATGGCATTGTCAAGGTTTTCCTATCGAAAATCCAATACATATTTCAGATCGAAAAGCATCTTCGTTAGCCAAGGGTTTCTGATACGCTACTCTCCACATGAACCCTTGGCATACGGTGAAGTCAAAAGACGGGATCAATCAGGTATGTCATCGCCAGAAATAAAGACGCGTTTTTATAAAAATTAAATCAATTTTTTAAAAAGAATATTTAAGAAGCAATAATTGAGTTACGTTTATTTATTATTTATAGTACAAATCGGAAGCTTCAATATAGATTCTCAACCACATATTTAGAAGATATTGGATGACACCATATCCATTCATAGAATTGTATGTTATCTTACGGATAGTTGTTTACTTGCGTTTTTCATTTCTGAGATTAAAGAGTCAAGAAGTATCCCGAACGCAAATATCGTCATTTACAAAAAAACAATTGCTGATTGGTCAACAGATCAAGAGATAAAAAACAACTTCAATGAAACTGTATGCCAAGGGTTCATGAGGAGTGTAGCCTATCAGAAACCCTTGCCTAGCGAAGATGATCAAAAAGTAAAATAGGAGACCTTACACAATGACACTATGTATCAAAGAATATGTGAAAGTCTCGTTAAATTCATGCAGAGGTATAAAAGGTGTTGCAAATAAGAGATGGGTACCCCAAACGTAACAGACAGACGAACAGACATCCCGATCACTAAATAACCTTCCACTTTTCAAGTGGGGGATAGGAGTATAAAATCACACTAATATTTTCATGTTTCATTTAGCTGTCATAGAAAATCGATTTTTGACTACCACGGAATATTCAGATATAAGACTAGGTCACACAATGAATGGGTTTAACAATTAATCATATGAGCACTGATTGAATTCAAGAGTAATGCGTTTTGAATAATATATATAACCCCCTTTGAAAAGCGTGGGGGGGGGGGAGTGTACATTGATCGAATGTCCATCCGGCTCTTGGTGTACCAATCTCTTATCCGCAACTCCTTTCTTTCATGTTTATGAATGAAATTCAATGAGACTTTCACAGAATCTTTGTTACATAGTGCCAATGTGTACCTCCTATTTTTCTTTTGATCGAAAATATATTTTGGATTTTCCATTGCCTTTGTGAATCTCCTTTTCTACTTTTTGTTCGAACACATATTTCTGGTTTTCCATGGCAAAACATGGACACTGCCATTTCTATACAATATTGAAGGTTACCCATTTTTGATCAACAACTCCTCCTACAACAATGAAAATCAGCTCACTAATTGATACCCGCGTCTCCCATATGAATATAATGGCGGTGTTCATGTTTTGCTATAGGAAACCTAAAATATATGTCCGATCAAAGAGTAAAATACGAGATGTACAATGATAATATGTAATGAATATTCTGGAGAAGTTTCATCAAATTTCATTAAGTGGTTTGCGAGAAGTTGCGGATAAGAGATGGGTACCCCAAAGGGTGAATCATATTTTGGATCTCCTAGAGGATACTTTGAATATTGCTATTATAAACATATAGGACGCATGGTGTACCATTTTAGCTTTTTATACCCCCCGCTTGAAAAGCGGGAGGGTATATAGTAATCGTTAATTCCGTCCGTCCGTCCGTCTTTTCGTCCGTCCGTCCGTCCGTCCGTCTGTTACGCTTTGGGGTACCCATCTCTTATCCATAACTCCTCTAATACCACTGAATGAAATTTGATGAAACTTTCACAGAATCTTTATTACATATTGCCATTGTGCACCTCCTATTTTACTTTTTGATCTGACACATATTTATGGTTTCCCACAACAAAACATGGACACTTCCATTATAGTCATATGGGAGGCGGGGGTATCATTTAGTGAGCTCATCGCTCACAGTACCTCTAGTTTAGTTTGTAATACATATATTTCATTTTTGTTTTACATGCATCATGCGCTGGCTTGCTTGATGCCCATATTTAATTGTTATGACATGCATATAAATAGATTTGTCAAGGAAATTATTATTTTGAAATAAAAGAAAATAACTTTTATCTAGTCTACTTACTTTTGAAAGATATAATCCTCTCTTTACTCTCTATTTGTTGTTAGTGTTATAATATTCTTTAAAAGAGAAGATAAAGCTGTCCTTATCAGGATAGAAAATATACAAGGTAAGGTTTTCCTCCTCATTTTTTGAAAATAGCTTTTAAAATAGGTTAAAAATAGACTACAGCTCAAAGGTTTTACAGGTACGGATAAATCAATATATTGCGTAGGTTTTAAATATGTCTGACGAAGCAAACCATTCGGCTTTGGGTAAAAGCTGAGTGGAGTGGAGTGGAGTGTAGTCTAGTAAAATCATAGAGTTAAGTCTGTTATTAACAGTGCAAGAAGTTTCAGAACAAAGCAATTTCTTTTGCATACCCTTTTGGTGGGTGGGTGGGTGATTTTATATGACAAGAATGAAACAAGAAAGAAACAATACCCAAACTGTAAAAAAAAAAAACTAACCACCTTTAAATGTAAAACAGAGACTAAAAAATAATAATAATAAAAACAACTGGATTTTACATTAACAAAATGTATTATATTAACAAAATCTAAACTAAGCTCATATTAATGAATAGAATATATAGAGATGACGAACGGTATTCAAGCCCAAAAGTCCATAAATCAATACAAAATAGGAGCAGAGCAAACACGGACCTTCTAAAAACCAGAAGTGGGATCAGTGAGCATCCCCAGCTGACCGGTCACGCCCGTCATGTGCTCCTTGTCAAGATCGGGAAAAATTGATGAAAACCTTCGTGACTCGGCAATTCAAAGTGTAAATAATGAACTAACAAATAGTTTGAAAAAATGTCAGTCATCATTTGACTCATTGATAAAATTAGCTGCAATAATGTAGCCCTCTCCCCCCCCCCCTTTTTTTTGGGAGAGGGCACAACTCCTTAGGATCTCCGTAATGGTGCAGCTGCGGAAGCGATTCGCTCCCGCACGGATTTCGGCTCAAATTGTCAGCAAATGACTATTTTATTAACATTCCTTACCTTGACTCCGAAAATGTGGTTATCCAAGACATAAATCAGTCCAAAAATATACAGAACAATCCATATATCAATATTTTTCGCGTATGTCAACATCACCGCTTAAATTTATCCGCCATGTTTACTGACTTGACAGATTTTATTTTGGGACAGCCAATGAGATTAAAGATCTATAGGGAGCGGACTTCTTTGGAATTACCTTATTTTAAGCCTAAATATCGCTGTTTACGATAAAATAACACATGGTATGATTTTATTTATCGATGTTTAGTGATACTATTCATCACAATTTTTTATAAACACCGACACCTGCTTTATTTAGTTATTCTAAATTTCAAGCGCAAGTCTCGTTACGTCACGCGTGAACTGTCATGGCTGTCGAAGATAAACACAAAATTTATTTTACATGGTTTTCGCGTTTAACGGACTATGTTGTCGGCAGTGAATAAAAATCTCGTCTTATTAGAAGTAAGTTGAATGTAAAAACTACTTTTTCTGCCTGCAGTCGCCCGTATTTTTAAAAAAAATATTTTTGCACCATTACGGAGATGCTGTGGAATTGTAGCCCTCTCCAGAAAACATCACATTAAAAAAAATCGGAGAGGGCTACATTATTGCAGCTATGATAAAATTAATTGTATTTGCTGACAAGGTCATTGTATGGACAAGAGAACTTACGAAATGATGACTTTAAATAAGACGGCTGATATTATTGTTTTGTTCTTTATAGATTGTACATATGTAGAGCATATTTTGTGTATCGAATCAACTGAAAGAGATAAACATCCGTATGGCAGGTGATGAGGGTATATTGCTGCAAAAGTAAAAGAATTTGACGAATGTAAAGTTAAAGTCATCAAGTTTATCATTAAGCTCTGCTGTTAGATTATCAGTAAGTCTTTTTTCAATTGAAATATCGAAATATGAAACAGATGTGTCAGCCTCTGAGGTTCCTTTTATCTCAAGCTCACCGGTAAGGACCGAAAAGGATCAATATCTAAACATTATTTACATAATTCGTAGATAAAATCTTAGATGATTTAGAAAACACATACTTTTTATTGTGGAAAAACAGAAATAGCTTGAATTAATTCAAAAAATGAAATGTAGACAAAATAGTAGACGTAGAATCAGTCGAGGGAAATACACTATGTTTGAAAGGGATGGGGATATGGGGGGTGGGGTTAAAGTTTGAGAGGGAACCTTGAAACTAAGACATGTTGATAACATTAGGCCTAGTGATATTCCGATTCTCTCACCCGTATTTTAGATAATACACAATAATATTTCTACAAACTGAAATGGAAATGTCATTTCCTTTCGGTTTGCTTTCTCGTTAAGAGATGGCATTTTGCCAACTCGTCTGACTTTGCCAAAACTTGAGTTTTGTTGTGGAGAAGGAGAATGTATGTTCGGGTTGAAAGCTCAAGAAAAAATAAAAAGGACTTCTTGTAAGCAAAGGTAGGAAGTTGAATTTAATCATATTTTTAATGGAAATCTTCTGGCCAACAAACAGGACGAAGGCTATAATTCATAAATTACTATATCCTATCACATTCCCAACTGTAGTTCTCATACATGTATTTACTTTTATATGTGAATGAAAATGAAAATATCAATATTGTCAAATTGCACTGTATGAGGCATTCAATTGTTTTGCCTTTGAAAACCCTTTTCCTATATAAATCTATGCTTAACTATAAAAGGAGTCTAACATTTTCTTTGGCGCAGGGTTAGAGCGTCTGTTCTAGAGTCAAGAAGTAAGGAGTTGATCCTTACGTCGCGGGTTCGAATCCTACTGTGGGACGAAGAGACCGGCAGGACGAATAATGACCCCCATCGAATAATGACCGGGGGTAATTTTTCAACGACAAAAAATGACCCCCTATAGATAGAAAAAAGTCATTTTTTGTAGAAAAAGTGTCCTAGGGGTCATTATTTTATATGTTAGTCCTATAAAAAAATTGACCCCCATTGAAAAAAGACCCCCTTTAAAGTGAAAAGAGATTCTTTAATTGTCAAGTAAATAAAATTTATTTTTAATATTCCTCCTTATAGTGTTTGCTTAAAGAATGATATTCCACTTGTTTTTAGAAATCAAACCATGCAACAATCAGTTTCCAATACTCTTTAATAGAAAAAATTAATTTTTCTTTCATTTCAACTTTTAGCTTGTATAAGTTTGGCAAATCCTATTTGACAATGAAAGAGGAGGAAATATTTAACCCCCCCCCCCTAAAAAATTACGTTAAATCAAAAAAAAAAATAATAATAATAATAAATGAAAAGCAAATTATAAATATAAATTTTATTCCTTTCAATAATACTGAAAGAGGCTCTAGATAAAATATTGAAATGAAGTTAAGCCTTCTCACAAGAACTATCATATCATAATTTACTTCGCCATGATTAAAGCATACTTTAAATGTTGGTTGGGGTATACTTGAAAGTATTGTGGCAAAGTACCAGTTGAAAATTAGTAGAATAGTAGATTATTTTAAGCTTATTTTAGTCCCTCCTTATAGGAAAATAAAGGTAGGTTAGTTTTTTGTTGCTTTTGTTGATAATCGACTTCCTCCTAAATAAGTTAAGGGGATGGGGTGGGTATAACACCTAAAAATATGGTCTGTAAAGCTATGGGCTAGTGTAAAATACACATTCTAATGCAAAACTATACATGTAGACATAACCTTTTGATTTAGCACACAGTATTCATTACATTTCTTAATTCTTGTTTTACTCCACCCTTTTACCCAGTTCTGAGTATATTTTTCAGAGAATTTAATATGAAAATCAGAACAAACATTTTCATTTCTGTTAGGTCTTCTTTATACTGTATCATAATATGAAAAGTTAATTGAAAACCATTTCTTTTTATGTCCCTGTAATCGAAGATTCGGGGGTATATATATGGCACGCCAAATTCACAAAAATGAGATAATCATAGTTTCACAATTGATAAACTAGGTTTATCGACTGTAAACTATAGTTTACAAACCGTAAACTATAGTTAACGATTCGTTAAGTATAGTTGTCATCTGTAAAACTATATTTAACGGTTGTTAACTATAGTTTACGAATGTTAATTTAAGTTTATCTGTCTGTAATAAAGCGTTAACAATAGATTTTGTTGATAAACATAGATTCACGTTTGTAAACTATAGTTTACAATTGTAAACTATAGTTAAGAGTTGTTAATCATAGTTTCACAAATTGTGAAACTATATTTATCAGATCGTTAACTATAGTTAACGGTTTGTAAACTATAGTTTACAAATCGTGAAACTGTATTTATCAGATAATCTATGTTTTGCAATCGCAAATGATTGTTTTCGGTGTTAAGTATAGTTTACGGTTGTGAAACATAGATTATCGCGTTAACTATGGTTTACAGATGTGAAATATAGATTAACGTTGTTAACTATAGTTTACGGTTTGTAAACTATAGTTTACAACCGATAAACCTAGTTTATCGATTGTGAAACTATGATTATCTCATTTTTGTGAATTTGGCGTGCCATATATATAGTTTTTTCGTGGCCGTCTGTATGCCTGTCTGTCTATCTGGCGGTCTGTTTCTCCGCAAAAACTTTAACATTGACCATAACTTTTCATTTATTGTAGTTATGCCTTTCATATTCAATATGTGTATATTCTTTGTGACAAGACCTTACTTTGGGTACCACCAAATTTGACCTTTTGACCTTTACGTTGGAGTTTGTCCCATTTTACAAAAAAATGCCAAATTTTTAATTTACTGTGGCTATAACTTTTAAACGGAAAATACTAGACATACGTACTCTCATACTTCTCAGATGTAATCCTTGTTACATTAAACTTTTCTTAAGAAACCATCAACTTTGACTCTTTGACCTTTGAGTTTGACCTACCTTTCAAACACTAAGTCTTATCCTTAGCCATTAATTTTGAACAAGTGGTGCTAGGGCCTTCCTATTTTGTAATTGTATTTCTTGTGAGAAGACACTACTTTGGGTACCATTATATTTAAATTGCATTTAAGAAAAGTTGAATCATCGCTATGTTGCCATACAGGGGCATAGCTGTTTCACAAACACATCTTTTACATATAAGAGGAGTTGCGGATAACAGATGGATACCCCAAAGCGTAACAGACGGACGGACGGACATCCCGATCACTATATACCCTCCCGCTTTTCAAGCGGAGTATATAATAATATATGATACTGTTGATTTTTTCTATCATGCAGTACAATGATTTCCACCATCGAAAAAAAACTTTACCTAACCCTTTAGGCTCGATAAATCTTTACTCCTTTAGATTCTGAATCATCGCATTGACCTTAAAATATAGCTGTAATCGTATGTTATAAGATCAACATATCAATTTATTCCAAATAAGCTCAGGTGAGCATTTTGGCCTATATGCTTCTTTATCAATTTTTTTTTTTGGGGGGGGGGGCCTAAAAATTTCAGCTTTAATCCACAGGGAGTCATTTTTCTACGGGGGTCATTTTTCTTCACGTGGGTTCTGCAAATTTGTAGGGTGGTGCCACTTTTTCTACGGGCAAAAGGGTCATTTTTTCTACGTCGAATAATGACCGGGGGTCATTTTTCGCCGTTGAATTTTGACCGTGGGTCATTTTTCGCTGTCGAAAAATGACCCCGGTCATTATTCGATGGGGGTCATTATTCGTCTTTACACCGGCCCTTTGGATGGGACAGTGTAAACCGAGGTCCCGATCCCTCACTGCTCAATGGCCCTGAGTGCAGAGCATAGGAAAAATTGCAGCTCTTCATATGTGTAAAAAATTCTCGAGAGGGACGTTAAAACAACCAATGCACTTCATTATATGTTCGATCTGAGCAGACTGAGGTGTAAGGTTTAAAATTCAGTTTAAATCTTACGAGAAAAAAATATAAATCTATATAAATCAAAAGTATGTAATAAGAATGAATTTAATTTATAGAAATACTCCTCTTTTTTACTGGAAGTTACACAGGCTCTTCCTAAATGGAGTGAACATCATTTTTATCATCTCAGGTAATTTAATACATTTATGAGGGTTGTCCGTTAAAATAGTTCAAAAAATTCTCCTGCTCCTAATATATATTTTGTACCTTTTTTTCATTTGACACAGAACAATTTTCAAACGCTTAAATTGAAATCATGCTATTTCCTTTCGGTTTGCCTTCTTTGTAAAAGGTGGCAATCAGCCAACTTTTGTGACTTTTTTTTCGACACGTTTAGTCGTGGAGGATAAAATCTGCATGTTGAAATCTCAACAAAAATCGATGAGATTTCTTGTAAGTAAAGGTAAGAAACTTAATTCAAACATTTTTGGTGGAAAATATATGGATTACATGAAAGGCAAAAGAGAAAAATAAATTAATTAATAAAAGAATGTAAATATAAATATAAAACGATGCCTGAAATAAATAAAATACGCAAGGTATTCAATGTAAATTTCAAAAGTCCAAGTCTAATGACACCAAAAACAAAGACAAAATCGAGAAATTAAAAATTACACAATCGACCTTTCAATGGCAAAATCGCATTCAGTTGTACAAAATTGTCGAGAAACAAATTCATCTTTTAAAGATGTATCTTCCAAAAAAAAATTGGAAAGTAAGGGTTTTTTTTTTTAATTTTCCAGCGACATAGTCCTAAAATTACGTAGACTGAGCTAATATTTTTTAAAGAAATTAATGTATTTTGATAGAATCTTCCGGGTGGATATTTTTGTGTGTGTGTTTTTGGCAGAACAAATACGAAGTTTTATCATGTTAACTTGAAAATAATTATTAGAGTAATAAGATTTGAAGTGGCATCGTCCTCTAACATCCGGAGCATATTTTCAACAAAATGTCAACGGTTAAAGTTTTTGGAGAGATTTATCAATTAAAAGAATAAAATTCTTTAATTACTGGGTATTCAAAACGATTTTAGATATAAATGTGAAATATCCCTGATGTAAGAAAAAAGATTTTGTGTGTTATTTATCCAAGCTATCGATTTTCCTAAGAATTAATGTGACTGCTCCGTGTCGCCCGACACTTGTATTGCCCGATCATGATCTTTCAAGACCAGAAAAAGAGCAAGAGCCATCTTATGCATAAAATGGTACTTATTTCGATTAATTAACTATCATCCTCTTTCCCATTTCATATATCAAAATAAAGTAGATTAAAATTTCGTTTTGAGAATCTACATATTAGAAAACAGGCTTTGAGAAAATGCAATGTTCCAGAATTTTACAGAAAACATGCGTATTTGACTACCTTCAGCAAAGAATTAAAATATGAGCACATCCCACGATCCAAAAATTAAAACATGTTTTTGATCTTCAAAAACAAAGCTTTCGTTATGTATTAGCATTTTTTGGATCAGAGGTTTGTGCTCTATATGAAATATTGAAAAAAAAGCTTCAACTTTAGGTCATTTTCAAAGGAATTTACAGGATATGAGGAAAATGACGCATTTTACGACATAATGTATTGACTAGATGTGAAATTACGTCACAATAAATAGATACGTTGTCACCAACACTCCAGTTGATAAATACTGTACTGTATTTTCAGAAATTCTCAGGGCCAAATAATACCCCAAGTGGCTCTTGCTCTTTAGTCACCCGACCATCGGCTTAAATGTGACCTATGCTAAGGGTCCATTGGTCCACTGTTCCTTCTGTAATTTCCGAAAGAGATAAAGAATATAACTCAATGGAGGATATACTCCCTGTTAAGTATCAGTCACATTATCCAGTGATGGGGTATACGATGAGAACCCGATGCGTTATTTGATGAAAATGGCGTGATTGCCGGCCGAACACCGCTATATATAGCTGCAGATCTAAAGCTCTCCGAAAAAATATATATTAATAGACCTGGGAGCTACAGTGCAACCCATTGGAAAAACTGTATATTTATTGTGCACAAAAAAGTGCGCTCGGTTCTTGGTTAATTCTTCCAAATTCTTACTTCAATTGCAAAAAATGGAAGATTTCAAAAAATTCCTCGCTCCTCTATCAAGTACTCTCGTAGTTGACATCTGAACGAAGCATATTGGACCGAATTATCTTTGAAACCAAAATGGCAGTATAAATAAGCGAAATGTTCGATGATTGCAATATCAGGACCAGGAGGACCATTAACAACAATTATGAGGAATGTTTTGTTGTGGAAAGAGTCAAAGAATATGTTAGGAACACACGATTAGTAATATTTTGAGATCACAGTTTTAAAAAGATGGAGAAATACATCGAGAACCAAGCGCACATTTTTGTGCGCAATATATATAAATTTTTTTTCAATTGGTGAGTCTGTAGCTCTCTGGTCTATCAATATATATTTTTTCGGAGAGCTACAGATCTGCAGCTAGTAATCGGACGTGAACGTGGCAATTTTGTGAATCGGTGGGGTCATTGGTAGAAAATAATTCGTATTTAAAAAACAGCGATGTCTCCACCGACGCTCCTCATCGACAACCCATCATTAATACATCTTTCAAGAATGGTCGATGTATGGGTGAGCATCGTCAAGTGCCTGTTGAATCTATGATCATCGGAGAGTTGAGTGAGTGGGCAACACATATCAGCCGATCATTGGTCAATGTTCGACCAAACATTGGTCTATAGTCGGCCAACGTACGAACGATGTTCACCAATGTAAGAGCGATGTAATATACATCGGCCGATTACCCTGGAAGAAGGATATGGAGATAACGAACAGTATTCAATTTCAAAGTCCATAAAAGAATACAAAATAGGAGCAAACACGGACCTCCGAAACATCAGAGGTGGGATCTGATGCTATGAAGGAGTAAGCATCACTTGCTGACCGGGCTTTTCCGCCGTGTGCTCCTTCTCATGATTGGGAAATAACTGAAAAATCCGTCGTCAATTCAGTGTATAAATAATGGACTAACAATTAGTATGAAAAACGTCAGGCAGCATTTGACTCAATGATAAATTATATTTGCTGACAATATCATTGTATCGACCATAGAACTTACGAAATGACGACTTTAATTAAGACGGCTGATATTCTTGTTTCATCAACTTGCTTGTCAATAATTTACCTCGTTTTAAACATTGTTCTTACGTAGAGCAAGTTCTTGCGTATCGAATCAACTGTGATATATACACTCCGTATGCAGGTGATGAAGGTATATTGCTGCATAAGTAAGGGAAGTTGACGAAAGAAAAGTTAAAGTAATTACGTTTATTATGTAGCTTGTTTGTTAGATTACCATTATCGTCTTTTTCAAGTAAAATATCCAAGTATGAAACAGATGCGTCAGACTCTGAGGTTTCTTTAATCTCAAGCTAACCAAGATATATCGTATCGACGTGGGAATGGAAATTACCATTGTTAATAAACAATACATCATCGTTGTATCTAAATGTCGAGTTCAAGGCAACAGCAAGTGTTTTCTTCTTTTCACGCCGAAGATTTAACACAAATTCTGCTTCAAATGAATATAAAAATAGGTCCACTAATAACGGAGCGCAATTTGTACCCATGGGATTTCCAATAGATTGTTGGAATACCTGGTCTCCAAAAACCACATAGATATTGTCAATCAGAAGTTCTAACATCTCTTTGATGTCAACTTCAGAGTACTTGTATGTGTAACCAGAATGTGTTTTGCAAATGACAAATGACCAGGTAATTAAATTTACGAGTTCTATTTTCATTAAAAAACAGCTGTCGATGATATCAAAAAGCCTGAACTTTAATTTACCGTGGGGAATGGTTGTATATAAAATTGAAAAGTCGTATGTTTTAAGGCTGTTGATTTTGGTAATAATTAGCAATGCATCGCTGGGCCTATGTACGTCCGGCCGACAACCACACCATTTTTATCAAAAAACGCATCGTTGCTCATCGTTTACCCCATTGCTTGATAATGCGACTGATACTAAAGGAGTAATAGAACGATGTTGTGGCATCGCTCGCACCACGGATTACCACCGATTACCATCGGTCCACGGCCATCCGCCGGGAAATGCGACCTAGGCATTATTTGGAGTACGATACGTTATGCCTAGTTACATTCATTCCTAAGAATACCGATAAATCAGCAAATTTCTTCATAGATTTTTATAAAATAGGTTACGTGAGTAATGTTTGCAAGACAAAGTGGCAGAATTTTATCAAATGGTGACTCAACATTAAAAATGTGCGCAAAATTTTGTATAGAATTTCCTGAAGAAGACGAATGGTGCATTTTTAGGCAGCAAAGAACACCTAAGATTTCTTTATATCTTACGGATTTATTGTTTATGTTATTTCTGTTCAAAAATTTATACCAATCCATGCATCAAAAGTTTGTTTGTGTTATGTATCCTTATTAGGTTAAATATTCACCATTTGGCCAATCGTCGCCCGATTATCGAGCTCTGAACTACAATTTGATTTTAACCGTCGGCCGAAATTTTGGACACCATTATTGTCGAATGACGGAAGACCGACTTAATAAACTGACTGACGATAGTCGGACGATGATCGGGGGTTGGTCGACGGTTAACTTTAATTGAAGAAATCGGCAACCGATGCAGAAAAAAATATAACTTGGACCGATGGACACAAAATTGGTCGGCCGACAAAAAGAGGTCAAAATCGGGCAAAACAACAGCTGATGAACTGCCGATTGTCACCAGAAGAATACCATTTTTGCTTAAAAATCCGGCGGCCTTTGGTCGTTTTTGGAAATATGACTGGGGTTTACTATCATTACATGTATAAGAAAGAGTAAGAAATTATTTCAGACACACAAGTGCCTTTGGTTCATCGATCCTTTGAAAGCACGCAAGTAAGGCGGAGTACCCAGAGAACTTTTGGAATGGAATACGACAAAAGTAATCTACAAAGGTAGATAAAAAATTACCGCTTTCTGGATTCAGAATTAGCACCTTTCCGGCATAAAAGCAACATTCACCTATTTCATTAACTTAACATTTTTTTAAATATAGTTCAGTTGACAGAAATGACTTACAGGATGAAAAAGGACCCAATGAAAGAGAACACGATCAGCCACAATACCATGAGGTATAGACCATTTACATAATGGGATATTACAAATGGTTTAAGGCTTCCTAGGCATTATATATAAATTATGTTTCTTATATGTTATATATTTCTGTTTACAGAACTCTGCTTCGAAAGGGAAATTGCTTATCATTGATGAAAATGTTCTAGCACAAAATAATCATCAACTAGAAAATGTTCCAAAATTATCTGAAGAAAAGATTCCTCGACATGTCCACGAGAAGACGATACCTAATGAAAGTCAAGCTTCAGAAATAGACAAAAAAGATCACGACGCTCCAGATGAGCAGGTAACACTTGGTGTTTATCGTCAGATATGTTAGATATGTTCAATCTATCCATGTCCTGTTTGATTCTTTTATACATTATTTTCAATACCTCATGCAAAATGGTTTTGCCCCCATAATGATCTAAAGCAAACAATCATACTGTATGTATTGTAAGTTATAATTGTCCATGATATAGTTGCAAAACAACACAAAAATTTCAGAAGACATTTGAAATTTTTCTTTATCAAAAATCAGATTCTCATCATTCGTAATTGTAAACTTTACTTTTTCTTTCTATCACTATCTGTACGTAATATAATAATATGATAATATATTATTATAATTATAATAATTATAATAATATTAAATTAATATAATAAAAGCCCACGTTTACAGTAAAACTATAACCTTTAAACATCTTGAAAAGGGATACATTTCATCTGTGTTGCGCTATGTTAACTCATCTATGCTATTGTTTGCCTATTTACCTTTTAGATTTAAAAGGGAAAAAAGTATGTCTTATTTTCATTAATAGAATATCGAATATTCCGAGGAACGTCCATTACACATTGCCTTGGAAAACAAAAAAGAGACGTTACTTTGTGAACCGTGTTCTTTAGAAAACGAAACAAATCCTGCTACCCATTTTTGCTGTGATTGTGAAGATCCTGAACCCCTTTGTAGGCCTTGTGCACATCAGCATCTTAGACAGAAATCTAGTAGAGGCCATACTTTATGTGATGATATTGAAAAATTTCAACAGAACAAATGCCAGGCTCAAATGTAAGTATGTGTACATTGTATCTGAAATTCCTTGAAAGTCTATAACATTCACACCGTTGTCAGTGTTGAATATACAGTAGAAACTACATACAATTTTAGTATATTAGGAAAACCAAAATATGTTTTTTTTATAAGTTCAATTAAAGAGAGTAACTTTTTATAGGTATAAAAATCTACCAATTTAAGAAAAGTAATATATTGTATAATTTATAAAAAGGTATTGGTTTTAAGTTTTTAGGAGAAATTATTCTAAGAACCATCCACTTTTCTAAACTTGTGACATGATATTAAATCTTTTTCAAAGAAAAAGTTTGTTTGTATCATCTGTTCTTAAGATGAATAGGTTTCTGTTTCAAATTTGCATTCTTGAACTTTATTTTATTACCTTCTTTAGGGTGCACAACGTCGAAGTGAAAGAAAATGAACGTAATTGTGGTCCCTGTTCTTTCGAAAATTTGCAAAATGTTGCTACACACTTCTGTGAAACATGCCAAGATCATGAACCATTGTGCGAGATGTGCGCAAAGCAACATCTGCGTCAGCGATCTAACCGTGGTCATACCCTGGGCAAATATAGCTGCATAAAAGACTTTAATGACCAACAGACCTCGTGTCACCAAAATCCCATGTGAGTGGAAATGATTATGCTTACTTGTTAGTTGTACATACAGAATATGTATCTGCAAATTCATTTCAGAAACACACACCATGGCATTAATCTGATTTTCTTAGTATTAAAAAGTAATTACAGTAATTGTTATACGTTTACAGTATTTGTTTTACCTACATATACAAACTAAATAAAATTTTATTTATTTGTCAGTCTTACAGAACGTTGATTGTAAACAGTGTCATGCAGAAATTTATTGGACTTCTTATTTTTAGTATCAATCACTAGTTTGTACAAATATTCTTATATTAAAAAAGAAGAAAGAAAGGATTCAAATAATATTTAATCAAAGGTTAAAACCGCATTTCCATAATTTCAAACACAAAATTAAGAAGAAATATTTTGTTTCTTTTCATAGATACAATGGTAAAAATAAAGGCATATGGTTATTAATAATATTTTCTTTAAACTATATTGTTTTGTACAGTTTTTAATTTCTACTCATTATCTGATTTCAGAGATGACAAAAGTTCATTATTACTTTCTGGAAATAAGGTATAGTAAATTTTTGTATCCCTCTGTACTAGAGGAATAACTTATGATTTTTAATTATTTTTGTGTGCAAATCTATTTTTCAGATCCCTGGAAAACCCTATGCATCCAGTGTTAATTCTAATTCTGTGGCTTTGTTTTGGGAAAAATCCTTGAATACGAGCAATCATTACCAAATCCGTTATAAAAGCAAGGGGGGAGTGGAAAAATGGAAATTTCAGGAAACTGAAAAAAATGAAAATCGAATAATCATAACAGGATTGAAAGCAAAAACGGCATATATATTTCAAGTGCGCGGAGTGTTCGAAGATGAGGAAGGACCATATGGGCCAAGCAATGATTCCATTGTGACGACAGAATCCATGGCAACGACTCTTATTAAACATTCAACACTCATCAGCACAGATATCCCCAACAAATATCAACTTCCCGTGCGGGAGAATTTAAGAGCTCGGAACACAGCTGCACGAACTAGGCAATTGATACTAGGTATGTATACATACAACGGAAAAAAATATTCTATATTCCAAGTTATAAAAACGTAAAATATTAAACGTTATAATTTTGATTTTAGGTCATTATGGAAAGAATTTGAAATTATAATTCCAGGAAAACCGAGAATGGGTTATGATGACGAAAGAACGATTATGTTAGTCGGCGCAACCGGCTCTGGAAAAAGTACGCTGGTAGATGGTATTGCCAATTATGTTCTTGGTGTCAACTTTGAGGACCCCTTCAGATTTTCATTGGTAACGTTAGAGAAAGACGAAATGAAAATCAACAATCAGGTACTTGGGTTAAAAGACTTTTTGAAATGGTTTTTTTTTCACGAAAATACACAAGCGAAAAAAAAACTAGCTTATAGGTTGGCTTGATATTAACTGCAGAGAAAATACAAGATCAGAGAACAGAGGACAATTTTGCTTAACACATTAACCATGCAGAAAATATTTTTGTCTCTTTTTGTCTTGTTAAAAACAGTTTCAAGACTTGTGGAATAAATTGAATGATGAATTCTTATATCAAATGTTTTTAATTGGAAATTAGCTTTTTTAAAAGTTATTCATTGTTTTTTCTTTCTTAAGAGTTATTCATTGTTTTAAGTTTTATTTTGTCTAGGCTATATCTCAGACGGAATGGATTACCGTCTATAAAATCATGCCTTCAGAAGACAGTCGGCTTAACTACACTCTCAATATTATCGACACACCAGGGTTTGGGGACACTAGAGGACTTGAAAGGGATCATGGTATCATCGACCAAATACGTCATTTATTTTCAGCGCAAGGTGAACAAGGTGTGCTTTACATCGATGCTGTGTGTTTTATAGTCAAAGCGCCAGATGCACGTCTCACAGCAGTACAGAAGTACATCTTCAGTTCCATTATGTCACTTTTTGGAAAAGATATAAAGTCAAACATTTGCACATTAGTGACATTTGCTGATGGCGCAGAACCGCGGGTACTGGCGTCATTAAAAGAATCCAAGCTCCCATTTGGTTCTATCTTTCAATTCAATAATTCAGCTCTCTTTGCCGAAAACAAGAACATGCTTGATTCGTCTTTATCGCAATCATTCTGGGACATGGGACGTTGTAATTTTGAAAACTTTTTGACGCATATTAACCAATTCGAAACTAAGAGTCTGCATCAAACAAAAGACGTCCTAGAAGAAAGAGAACGCTTAAAATCTGTCGTCTCTAACATCCGTCCACAAATTTCTGCTGGATTGTCAAAATTATCAGAGTTAAAAGAACAGCTGGATATACTTACAAAGTATAAAAATACCATAAAGGCTAACCAGAACTTTACGTATCAGGTCACGGAAACAAAGCAGAAGAAGATTGACCTGCCATGGGATGAGAATGTTACAAATTGCATAAACTGCAACGTCACGTGCCACAAAAGGTGTCGTGTCGAGGACAATGAGAAAAAACGGAAATGCAAGGTGATGGATGATGATGGATACTGCAATGTCTGCCCAGATGTCTGTCACTGGTCGGACCATAAGAATGCGTCATACAGATTGAAATGTGTGACAGAAACTGTGACGAAAACATATGCTGATATGAAGGAAAAGTATGAAAAAGCCATGGGACAAACACTTTCGCACGAAAAGTACGTTCAAGAGCTATCAGACGACTTAGATGAAAAGAATATTGACATTTTCAATTTAATTATAGAAATGAACCGCTGCAAAAACCGTCTGAAAGAAATAGCACTTGGACCCGATCCTTATTCTACAGTTGAGCACATTGACCTGCTCATACTATCAGAAGAATTTGATAAGCAACCAGGATTTGAAAACAGAATAAGGAGCCTTCAGGATCTTAAAAAATTGGCCCTTATAGATGACGACGTACAAAAATTTGATGATAAACTTAACATAACTGATAAAAACATTCAAGATGCGACGGGAAAGTCTTTGAGGAGAAGACGAATGCAGTCTGAGAGGAAGGGGCATGCTCTCAGTCGCGGTCTCCAACGCACAGATGATAAGCTTTTTCAAGCATGAAAATTTGTTGAATAACAGAAGCAGCATATACAATCTGTACTCGTCATTGTTTGAATGTATTGAAAACTTCATGTTTAGAAATATGTAATGATAACTAGGACCAAGTTGACATGATTCTATTTTCTGACACAGAAACAAAATCGTGAAAATTTGTTGTTATAGAGAATACACCTGAATGGAAAAATATTGTATATAAGGATAGGTAAAAATGTACTTCGCTAGCGCTGCTTTTAGACATTTTGTAAAATTAATTCAAATATGCTTGATTTTAAAAATTTATACCCTTTGTAGTCATTATAAAATTATAAATAGATATTTTGCTTTTATAAGCCGGTGTTTTGTTTTTTTTAAACTGCTCTTTGAAATAACTCGGTCTCTATGTCTTGAGATCGAAGGTCATATTGTTTTTATCTTATCTGCCATACTGTATTTCTGGTATGAAGCTCAAGGCTTTATACATGTATAGATCACTTTATGAAAAATATAGCTACTTGGTTCATGTGCACCAGCTGTAATAACCAGGTTGGGGGGAAACCTAAATTCCGCTATAATAGTGGTATTTCACTATTATAGTGAAATTACGCTATATTTCCCGCCGTGGATACCCTCAGTTTCACCCGATACCATGCAAGATGTTTGAACCGCATGTCATGGTGGGTATTAAAATGAACA